GATATCGATTTCGGGCGCCCGATCCGATTCGATTCCGATGTTCCGGCGATGTTGTGAGGCCTTGTTTTTGCACAGCGTTGCTGTGCATCTTGGCGCTGCTATTTCGATTCGGTGTTCGATGCCGTGCAGATGTGGCCCGACCTGGCACACATTCCGAGTCGGTACGATTTTCCGACTCGATGTTGCTTGATCTTTACCTTTCGGGCAGGCGTCGTCGTCGCTGCCGACTCGAAGATTTTTAAAGGTCTTCTGAGTTCTTTGGAGGTCCTCGGAGGTGTTCGGGGGTGTCAAGATGTCGAGGTTCCTTAGAGGTCCTCGCAGCATCTCGAAAACTCCGGAAAGTGCTGTGAGAGCGTTGTCGTTTTTGCCGCCGCCGTTGTTGCCCTCGTTGTCGTGGTCGCCGCTGTTGCCGCAGCCACCGTCGCCGTCTCCATCTTCGAATCCGCCGCCGTCGTCGTCGGTGCCGCCGTTGACGTCGTTGTCGTCTCTGCAGCCTCTGTCGTCGTCGACGCTGCCGCCATCCTTGCCGCTGCCGCTGTCGTCGTCACCTTCATCGCTTTCGTCGCCGCCGCCGTCCTCAAACTAGGAGTGCAGCAAGCATACACACATATATATATATGTATGTATACATGTGTGTGTTGGTCTGGGGGGGTGACTTCCTCGTTTGTCTCCGTTCGAAAGATTTTGTCTTGGAGTGTTTCCGGGTCGCCCAGCCGGTGCCAGGGGGCACATGTTGCGCAAGAACGGATGCTGCCCGCGGGGCCTGCGTGTCGAGACGCTGGCAACGTGCTGAGGTGGCTCGGCCCGTTTCGCGTGCGACGTCATCGCAAGTCTGCGCTCCGAGACGACCAGAGTTGACATGGTCCGGCCCCGTCTCGCTTGAAGTACCCACGCATTTCTCGGCTCCCAGAGGCTACGCGAGAGAGGTGGTCCGGCCCATATCGATTGAATTTTTGTTTGGGGGTTTGGGTGTCGTACGTGACTTGAGGTTGCCTTTTCCGTTTCGCTTGAGGCATCGTCGCTGTGCTAGGCTTCAAGGTGCCGCCCGCGAGGTTATATATTTGGTCAATTTGGCCTGAGACGACCCCGCAATTCCGAGCAACCGTTGAGTAGCCCGAAGCGGAGGAGGAGTGGGAGGAGGAGGCGTAGCAGGATGACTGAAGACGGGGAGGAGAAAGGAGTATGCCCGCATTGCTGTAGGACAAGTCCTCTTGATTTCAAGGCTCTCGGGGCACTTCTCGTCGCCAATGCTGGACGCGGCTCGATCGTGCCTGGTGATGCGGGCTGGCACTCTGCCGACGAGCGGTGTGTCACGAGCCCGGTCTCGCCCAGATTGTGGGGATGTCTCGAGCGGTCCGCTTGTTCTTCGGGGGCGGAGGTGTGATTCGGCGCCGTGTGGTGCTCGCTGGCCACCTCGGTTGGCTTCGGGGGCTGCGTCTGGCCCCATCCGAGGCTTGCCTTGGCTGGCGGGGGGGGGGGCAGTGCACCTGAGCCCGGGGGCCAGGTCGCCGTGGACAGCTCTGGGCGATCCCGGCAACCCCAACGGCGGTGCCGGTCGGGAGCCTCGGGACGGGGGTCAATGCAAACGGGGGTCAGCCAGAGCGCCAGATCTTGCAGGATCCTGCAGGGCCAGGGTCGCATTGAACCCGGTTTGGGTGCAGGATCCTGCAGGATCCTGCAGGATCCTTCGCATTGACCTGGGTTTGGGTGCAGGATCTTGGAGGATTTTGCAGGCCTGATTGACCCGGGTTTAGATTGACCCGGGTCAGAAGATCCCCGAGCCGGGGAGGGGTTGCCCTCAAAGGAGTTGGGTGCGCCCCATGGCCCACAGAGGCCATCCTCGGAACGTCGGTCTCCGAGATGCCCTGACTTGTAATTGATGTGCTCTGGCTCGTTTCGCTTGAGACGTCCTCACAACTCTGGATTCCAAGATGTTCTTCGCGAGGTACTCAGGCCAGGCCCATTTTGCTTGAGACTCCTGAGATTCCCAGGCTTCGAGATGCCCTGAATTGAGGTGCTCTGGCCCGTTTCGCTTGAGACGTCCTCACCACCCTTGGTTCCAAGATGTGGTTCGCGAGGCACACTGGCACGTTTCGCCTGAGACATCCTCGGGATCCCTTGCTCTGATCGATTGGCCTGAGACGTCCTCGCAACTCTTGGTCGAAGATTCGCTTCGCGAGGTGCTCAGGCCTGTTTCGCTTGAGAGATCCTCGGAACCCTGGGTTCCGAGATGCCCTGAATTGGGATGTTCAGTCCCGTTTTACTTGAGACATCCTCGTTACGTTGTTCGCCTGAGGTGCCCTCGTAACCTCAGGCTCCGAAATACCCTGAATTGAGGTGCTCTGGCCCGTTGTGCTTGAGACGTCCTCACCACTATGGGTTCCAAGATGTGGTTCGCGAAGCTCTCAGACACGTTTCGCCTGAGACATCCTCGGAATCCCTTGCTCTGACCGATTGGCATGAGGCGTCCTCACAAATCTGAGTTGAAGATGCGATTCGCGAGGTAAACAGGCACGTTTCGTTTGAGACATCCTTGGATCCCTGGGATCCGAGAGCCCTGAATTGAGATGTTCAGTCCCGTTTCACCTGAGACATACTCATTATGTTGCTCGCCTGGAACATCCTTGGAACTCACACCTCTGGGTTCCAAAATGCGGCTCGCGAGGTGTTCTGGAACCGTTTCGTTTGTGACATCCTTGGGTTCCAAGATGTGGTTCGCGAGGTAACCGCATGACCGCGATAATGGATTATCCCCCCTTCACCCCTCAGTCATGGTTACCCATTGGGTACTTATATTTGATAGGTGGGCGGAGCGGCGAGGCCGAACTGTATTACCGCCAGGGAAAGTACGAATCGTACATTGAATGCTATTCTCATGATTATCCCTCATTATCATCATCACCCTCCTTCGTTATTGTCATCACCCTATCGTGGACCCACATTCTGACACACCCCTAACGTGGTTGGTGGCCTCATGTGGTGTTCTAGGAGGTCTCAAGTCTCCTTCCCGCCCGTTTCTTTTTCTTCTTCTCTTATTTATATTCCTTATTGTTTCTGTCTCCTCCTTCTACTTCCCCTCCCCACCTTCCTCCCTCCACGCCCAAGTTAAACTTGTTTATCGCCGTCATTGTTTAGCACCCCCGAAGAGCAAGCATGAGTACTCCTACACGACAAATAGAATACCACCAATAATATTTGAGGCTTGCGCTGAGAATTTCATAGGTCCGAAACTTTGATTTTGACATCTCCTGTTCTTCCTATCATTGTCGTCCGCATCCTCTTTTTTTGTCCTCGTCCTACCCACTGTCATTCTTGTCTACCCTGTTTCTTTTCCTCCTCGTTTTACTCCTCCTCCTCCACCGTAGATTAGCTTGGAGGTGATTCAAGACCCATCCAGACATCCCAACCTCGAGATCTCCAGGAACCCAAAATGATTATCCTCCCAGGACCCAGAATTGTCTTACCCCATGGTGTGATTATCACCGTCACAGGGTTAGTCAGGCCCGTTTCCCCTGAAACATCGTCCGAAGCCCAGGTTGCTGCGAGATGCCATGCTCTGGCCCGTTTCGTTTGAGACGTCCGCACAATGCTTGGTTCCAAGACGTGCTTCACGAGGTACCTTGACACGTTTCGCCTGAGACCTCCTCGGGATCCATGGCTCCGAGATGCCCTGGCCTGAGGTGACCCGGGTGTTGTCGGAGAGTTGTTGTTGGGGTTGCCCTCAGTGCTAGGGGAATTTGGGGATCAATAGAAAGTGACAGAACATACGAGAAGGCGCCACTTTCATTCACGCAAAAACATGTGTATACATTTATATACATACATATACATATGTATGATATATGTGTCAGATACAATGGTGGTACTGGTGCAATGGTGGTACAGTCGACCTTGCAGGTCTTGACGTTTTCGACGCCACTGCTAGCGCAATTGCCCCACCCACCCGCCTGCAACTTGTTTTCCAAAACCCATGCAGTGGCGATTGAGATGTCTGCTTGGCACTGACTGGCGCATCTATGCGGCTGGTCTGGCACGCGAAAGCTCGCGCGCAGAGCGACCAGCTAGTTCTGCACAGCCGGCGTGACCGTGCTGGCGCTGACCGATGGGGGCTTCCTTGCGCGTCCCAGAGGCCGAGCCAGCGCACGGGCACTTCAGTGCGGATCGGTGATTCTTGCGGTCGCGGTCTCATGATGGCGTCGCCTATGGCGGACACGATGATGATAGTAGCCACGATGGTGACGATGACGATAACAGATGCGAGGCCGCCGCGCCGATGCTGGTCACGCCGATGACGATCATGATGCTCATATGTCGTTGATAAAGTTTGTTGATGAAGACCGTGGAAGGATTTCGACATGTTCGCGCGGCCGACGCGCGCGAGTGGTCCTCATTGTTTTTTTCGACAGGGATCGCACTTTACCCCCCCACCCCACCCCCAAGCTCCCAACCCCCAGCAAGCGCGCAGGTGCGCTCGAGTGATTTCGACGTGCGTGCGCGAGAGGCCCGCGTGGTCTCAATGGACGAAAATGTATTGAAGAACGCGTTCTGTTTACAAGAATGTTCAGCAGCGCGCCTAGATTTGTTCGAACACAAGGTTGGAAAGCCACGTGTTGATCTGTTCGCAGGAACCCCGATATTGGTATTACTTGGTAAGGATGAAGGGGGGGAGGGGCGGTGGGGGGCATGAGCGGACTTTTTCTGGGTGGCACGCGTTCATATCTAAAATGAACGATGGGACGAAAACATACGTAAATTGCCGTGTCCTGTCATCCCCTCCTCCCGGTTCTGAGTTTCCTCTGTCTTCGTTTTCTTTGCTGTTTCGTTTCGTTATCCTCTTCCTCGTTGCCCCCCTCCTCTCTCTCGTCCTCACGATCCCCGTTTCTCCAAAACGTCGTGCTCTTGCTTCTCCTCCGCCTCGTTCTCGTCTTCCTCGCCCTCATCCCCGTCCCTTCCTGTAGGACTCACGTGGTTACTCCCGCCCCCTGTGCGCGGGCGCACAGGGGCGACATGGACCTCAACCATGGCCGGCTCTTCCGGCTGCTGTGCCGCGCCTGGCCAAGCGCCTCCTTCGGGCCGAACGAAAGGGGGTTATTTTGGAAAGGGGGGTTACGAAATCCGCTGCATGCAGCTGGTTTTGGCCCTGCCGCCGGGCCCAGTCCTCCATGCATGGGGCGCCTCCTGGCGCCAGGAGGCGCCGGGAAAGTTAGCTACGTGAGCTGATTCTCAAGCCTTTTTTGGCTATCCCTCCCTTTCGCCCGACCCGACTCCTCTTCTTCAGCACAGGTTGTCGGTGTCGTTGGTGCTTTCCGCTCGGTCGTTGCGCCGCCCCCCGAGGTCGGGGTGGCGCGAGGGGGGTGGCCTCCTGATATCGGGGAGGAGGAGGGAGGAGGGAGGAGCAAGCAGTGGCGAAGCGTCCCAGCTCGCCTATAGGCCCACCAAAGAATGTTCTAAGAACCTTTCGAGGTTTACACGACATGTTCTCGGAACATTTCTGGTTGAGACTGTTTTGGTTTAGCACATCGGGTTTATGTTCGAAGGACATTGTTGTTGTTCTTAGAACATTGTTACATGTTGGGTTCTAAGAGCATGTCGTGGTAGGACTATGGGAATGCCGGGACGGTCGGTTCCTGTTCAAGAGAGACGTGGGCGGCTGCAGCTAGGATCGGTGCGCTTGGAGACCAGAGAACGGAGCGGCGAGGGCGAGGGAGAGGGCACGAGCGTTGATTTTGCGAGCTGGAAGCAGTCCCAGTCCCCGCGAAGTTTGATCTGCCGGTTCTCACTCGTTTTTTTTTTTTCCTTTCGGCTTCGCTCCAACTAGTTGCAGAGGTGCAGTCAACCCGCGTAGTAAGGATGGGCAACATCTTCAAGGGCACCCTTGCATCCTTGCCTCCTCGGTCCATCCTTGGCCACTTTCGTTGGCCGCGCCCCGCTCGGAAAGCTTTGGAATGAACGTCCAAGGCCCTTGCACCCTTATCGCGCATCCTTATAATACGGGCCGACTGCAATCTGCACGTTTTGCCATTTTTGCAGTGGCGGCTTAGAGCGCAGAACAAAAAACACGTCCCCAGGGGCGGCCGCAAACAGGCAGCCGTCAAAGCACAACGCCCGCCACAGGAGGCAGCAAGAAAGCAGCAACCAAAGCGCCAAGGTGGGGGGCGAGGGAAGCAAGGGAGTGAGGTACACTGGGTCCGCAGAGACCGTGGAGGGCCACTGCCACTGCCGTCCTCTCACCTGCCTCTCTCATTGCTCCCTCCGTCCTCTCGCCCATGGCTCCTCTTCCTCGCCCTCCTTTCTTCAGAGGCTCACTTCCTCGTGTGCCTCTCCTCTCCTCCAAACTCTCCGTCATCTGTACTGGTATCTCGGATGATTTCCTTCAGGTTTGCACCGGGGAGGGGGCTGCCCTTGTGGTGTGTGCTGGCTTGAGACCGGCGTGCATGCATGATCTCTCGCGTTTCCCGGGCGATCTCCATCTCCCACCTGTCTTTGCTGCCTAGAGGTTCTGCCCAGAGGCCCCGGGGATGTTCCAGCTTAGCTCACTCGGGGGCCTTGAGATGGGGGTCAATGCAGACGGGGGTCAGCCACGGCACCGGATCCTGCAGGATCCTGCGAAGACCCCCTCTGGCTGACCCGGGTTAGCGAGCCGCTCGTGGCCGCGAGGGCGGCCGCGCATATTGGCTGACCCGGGTTTGCGAGGACCTGCGTTGCAGTTTGTTTTTCCTGCATTGCATTTTTTGTTTCCTGCTGACCCAGGTCTGGATTGACCCGGGTCAGAAGATCCCCGACTCACGTTACCTCACCAGGTTGTGAAGCGGCTTCGAGCGGGTCCCGCCATCATCGTTGCGCTGAAGGTTCCGTCACCACCGCGTCGGAGGGAAAGTGCACTCGGGTGCGTGGGGGCATTTAGCATTGCGAAAAAAGGCGGGCACGGGGGTTGGTCGAAAAATAAAAAAACGTAGCAATCATTTTTTTGGCGCTGCGAGCGGATTTCTTGGATCCGCGCTGGGCCCCTTGGCGGCGCCTCCGGCGCCGCCCCTGGCGCGTTCCGTGCGCCAGGGAGAGGGGTCCAGCGCAGATTCAAGAAATCCGCGCGGAGCGCCAAAAGTTTATGCTCATGGCGTTTTTGCTTCTTCTAATTTGGGGAGGCTGCCTTCTAAAAAGCTTGGGGGGGGCTTCAAGAAGGCAAGGGTTTACTCATATAGGAGCCGCCCTGGCTTCTCAGAAGCTCTTGTCGAAGCCCGCGGGCCCTCCCGAGGAGGTCCCGCCCCTCCGAGAAGCAACCCGCCCTCTCGGAAGGCCACCCCCTTGGTGCTACCCCCACCGTTTGTGCCTGCCGCTGATGTGCTGATGCCGATGGGCCGATTTTCCACCACCGCTGCCATAGGTAGGAGGAGGAGGGAGGAGGAGGAGGAGGAAGAGGAGGAGGAGGACCTCCCATCCTCACTTCTCTCCCGTCCTACCTGTGGTAGTGGTGGTCGAAAATTGGCCCATGCGATGTGCAGCCAAGACGCCGAAATAACAACCACTTTGGCGCTCAGGAGGGCCTTCTGGCTCTCGGGCTGTGCGCCAGGTCGTGGGGCGGGGCGCACGTGCGTGGCCGAGGCTCTCGCCGCGGCCAGGGCCCCCTCCGCTCCCGACTCCTGGCGCCCCGTTTGTGGCAGCACGTGGCCCGTGTGCCCACGCACCGTGGGCGGGATGCCTCGGTCGCAGGGAATGGGAGGTCTGCATGCCCTCGCAACTCCGCCTCTAGCGTCGATTGGCGTCTGGTTCGGGGGATGCGTGCGTGGCCGAGGCTCGCCAAAGCCTTGCTCGTGCTTCTCCTCACTCTGCTCCCTTCGCGAGCCGAGAGGCTCGAGCCGAGTGGGGGATCGAGAGCGCTCCTCCTATTCCTCCTCCTCCTCCTCCTCCTCCTCCTCCTCCTCCTCCTCCTCCTCCTCCCCGCGGCCAGAAAAGTGTCCCCTCCGCTCCTGGCCTCTGGCGCCCCCTTTTGCGGCGGCCCGTGGCCCGTGTGCGCCCACGAGAGCCGTCGGCGGGTAGCTTCGGTTGCAAAGCATGGGCGGCTCGTGTAACCTCGCAGTTCCGTCTTTCAGCGGCGAGCGAGGGAGGGAAGTGAGAAGGAGAAGGCCTTCTCAGAAGGCGGCGGGACTTCTCAGAAGCCCTCGCGCCTTCTGAGAAGTTCCTCCTCCTCCGCCCTCTCCCCCTCCTCCTCCCCCTCCTCCTCCCCCTCCTCCTCCTCCTCCTACTCCTCCTACTCCTCCTCCTGCTCCTCCTCCTCCTCCTCCTCCTCCTCCAGTGCCCCCGCCTGGGGCGTCCGCGTCCGTGCGCCGCAGCCCGCCCGCGCGGCCAGCCAGGAAGCTGGTGCAGCGCAACCCGGGCACGGTCCCGCCGAAGGAGCTCCGGCGGTCGCTCGGCCGGGCTCGTGGTCGGTCGGGAGCCCCCAGGCCAGGTGGCGAGGCATCGGGTGAGGACCCGGAATCCCCAAAGTGTCACCGCCGGGTTTGGGGGGGACCCGGGTCACCGCCGGGTGCTGTGAGTCCTGGGCCCAACAGCGTGCGGGACATCGTCGAACAGCCACACGAGTCCACGAACCGGGTGGTGAAACACCAAATCGCCCGAGAGTCATTGCTGGGTGTCATCACCACCACGTTTTGGGATTATCGAGGGAGGTAGGTGTCGGGAGTCTTGAGATGGGGGCTAATGCAAAAGGGGGTCAGCCAGTGTGCCGGAGCACGCAGGATCCTTCCTGCAGAGCAGGGGTGCCTTGGCCCAGGTCAACGCGCAGGATCCTGTAGGATCTCGCAGGATCCTGCAAGGCTTGACTGACCCCAGCTTGCACTGACCCAGATCAGCGCGTCCCCGACAGGGGTCGGGAACGTCAGGCGGGGAATGTTCCACGGGGGGGTCATCGCTCTGGTCGTCTCCGTCTGCTGCTTGGTTTCGGCGTCACGGACTGTCAACAGCAGATGTGGGCATGCAGTTGTTGCAGAAGAGGCCAGGCACCCCTGAGCACAGGGCGTTGTGGTTGGTGTTGGGGGGAATACGAGTTCTGGATGTCTGGTCACGCGTCGCAGTAGTTCCCAACCAACCTGTGTTGTTGGGTCCTCGTTTTGAAGAGACGGTCCCCGCGTTTCCTCCTCCTCCTCCTCCTCCTCCTCCTCCCTCCTCCCCTCCTCTCATCTCCTCCCGCGCCCCTCCCGCCCCCAGTGGGGTGTACCACATGCGCCCGCCACACCCAGCACGGCGCTTCGTGGCCCCATAGGGAGGTCCACCTAAGGCCCCAGTGGTGTGTACGCCATGCGTGTCCCCCACCCAGTACAACGCTTCGTGGCCCCATAGGGAGGTCCACCTAAGGCCCCAGTGGTGTGTACCACATGCGTCTCCCCCACCCAGTACAGCGCTTCGTGGCCCCATACGGAGGTCCACCTAAGGCCCCAGTGGTGTGTACCACGTGCGTCTCCCTCACCCAGTACAGCGTTTCGTGGCCCCATAGGGAGGTCCATCTAAGGCCCCAATGGTGTGTACAACATGCGTTTCCCCAGACAGTACAGCGCTTCGTGGCCCCATAGGGAGGTCCACCTAAGGCCCCAGTGGTGTGTACCACATGCGTCTCCCCCACCCAGTACTGCGTTTCGTGGCCCCATAGAAAGGTCCACCTAAGGCCCCAGTGGTGTGTACCACATGCGTCCCCCCACCCAGTACAGCGTTTCGTGGCCCCACATGGAGCCCCACCGAAGGTCCCCGTGGCGCAGTCCGCATGCGTCTCCCCCACCCAGTACAGCGCTTCGTGGCCCCATATAGAGCCCCACCGAAGGTCCCCGTGGCGCAGTCCGCATGAGTCTCCCTCACCCAGTACGGCGTTTCGTGGCCCCATATGGAGCCCGACCCAAGGCCCCCGTGGTGCAGTCCGCATGCGCCTCCCTCACCCCGTACAGCGCTTCGATGCCCCATATGGGCTCCGCCGAAGGTCCCTGTGGCACAGTCCGCATGCGTCTCCCCCACCCAGCACAGCGTTTCGTGGCCCCATATGGAACCACCTAAGGCCCCCGTGGCGCAGTCCGCATGCGCCTCCCTCACCCAGTACAGCGTTTCGTGGCCCCACATGGAGCCCCACCGAAGGTCCCCGTGGCGAAGTCCGCATGCGTCTCCCCCACCCACTACGGCCCCATATGAGGCTCCGCCGAAGGTCCCCGTGGCGCAGTCCGCATGCGTCTCCCTTACCCAATACAGCGTTTCGTGGCCCCATAGGAAGGTCCACCTAAGGCCCCCGTGGCGCAGTCCCTATGCGCCTCCCCCGCCCACTACAGCGTTCCGTGGCCCCACATGGAGCCCCACCGAAGGTCCCCGTGGCGCAGTCCGCATGCGATTTCCCCACCCAGTACACCGCTTCGCGGCCCCATAGGGGCTCCGCCGAAGGTCCCCGTGGCGCAGTCCGCATGCGTTTCCCCCACCCAATACACCGTTTCGTGGCCCCATATGGAGCCCCACCGAAGGTTCCCGTGGCGCAGACCGCATGCGTTTCCCTCACCCAGTACAGCGCTTCGTGGCCCCATATGGAGCCCCACCAAAGGTCCCCGTGGCGCAGTCCGCATGCGTCTCCCCCACCCAGTACACCTCTGTCGGAGGCCAGAGCCTTGCCCGCTATCAGCCAGCCAGCTAGCTCTGGACGGCCTGCGCGCGTCGCTGGGACCCCTCCGGGGCGGCCTGCGCGCGTCGCAGGGGCTCCGCGCTGCGCTGCGCCCGCAGCCTTGGACTTTTGAGTGCGCGGGCAAAGCGTACAAGAAGAGGAGGAAGCGGGCGCGATCCTCGCGGGGGGGCGTGCCGACATTGGCGTCGCGGCGCGCAGGCGATGCCGTCGGGGAGTCCCGGGGGAGCTCCTTGCGGCGGCCACGCCCAGCGTCACGAGTACTCAGAGGCAGCCGTTCTCAAACTATTGACATTCATATACAATTACACCATGCTTTGTCATACGCGCATTCATGCACGTAGACTCGCTCGCACGCAGATTCATTCACAGTCAGACGCACTCGCGCTCAGATTCACCCGCGCCCAGTCCCCCTACGTACTCAGATCAATCGTTCGTTCTCGTTGTGTGACACGCCGCTCATTTCGGCACACCCCTAGCACGGTTCCTTGCCTCATAGGGGCCACCACCGAAAAGTGAATCACAATGGCGGTACTCACACCTGCATATTGTTGGGTCCTTCGTCCGGCTAATTGATCGATCTTTTTTTATCGATCGGTCTCACCAACGATCTCATTACCCATTGTTGTATCGATCGCACCATCGATCTCACAATATATCGTTCACCAGAGATCGCATGAGCGATATCGCGAACAATTTCACGATCGATCTCATTGAATCGATTTCACTTTCGGTCTCACGATCGACCTTAGAATCGTCCTCATTATTGATTGCGCGATCGAGCTCATGATCGATATCACAACCGATCCCAGGATCCATTGTATTCATGTTCGAATGATTTACTGGCTGGGCCTTCTCAGGTGTAGGTTTGATACACATGCTCGCCATAACATATAGTACATGAAATTGTCCTTATTCTGGAGATCGCGTGCGCGGCCACAAGTCACCCGCCAGGGCCCGCGCACCCAGGGACTCTGACTTTTTGGTAATGCTCTACGCGATACGCCGTTGCTTTTGGCCGTTTTCAGGCCAATCCAGCCCTGGGCTGAATGATCGTAGGAGGACGAAGCGGCCCATACCGCGACCCTTCATCGTTTTCCCCTCCTCGGGCCTCTTGGGGGGCCTTCGTCGCCACCGTTGGACTCGCCTCGTAGTCCTGGTCAGAACGCGCCCCGGGAAAGGTCTGGGGGGTAGCGGTATCAGTACTTTCTGGGTTCCCCAGTCATTCTCTCTCGTCCCCCCCTCCTTACCCCCCGAGGAGCTCTTCGCCCGTTGGAACGACTTCTGCGACGCCCGCGCGCCCCAGGCGCGCAGCCGCCGCCTGCCGCGGCGCCCCAACCCCGCCCACCACACACGCCCGACGCCATCCGCGAAACCCCCTTCGTCCTCCTCCTCCTCCTGCTCCTCCTCCTCCTCCTCCCCCTCCTCCTCCTCTTCCTCCTCCTCCTCCTCCTCTTCCTCCTTCTCCCCCCCGTGACCTGACCCTCTCGGGAGCGCAGGCAGGACGTACACGCACATTAGTCCACGTTGGCTGCGAGAGTACGAAGTTCGAAGAAGAGAAACCGCCATAAACATCCACTTTTGGCGCGCCGCGCGGATTTCTTTGATCCGCGCCTGGTCCCCCCCCCTGGCGGCGCCTCCTGCGCCGCCCTTTGCGCGCTCCGCGCGCCAGGGAAGGGTGTCCGGGCGGCGATCCCAGTGCACGCATTCAAGGTTGAACGCCGACCGCCGCCCAGAATCGCCCTGTCGATCGTTCATGGAACGGCCGATCGTGCAAATTTGAGTGATCCCCGCGGTGGCAGGAACAAACACCGGGATCGACACGTTGCGAACTTGCCGCATGTTTATATATGTTTTCTCTTCCTCTAGAGTCGCGTGGACGTTCGTGTCACGCGGCTGGTCTCGCGAACTGGGGGGCCGTGTTCCTGTATACGCGGTTGGGCGCGTGCGTGCTCTGTTAGCTCCCCAGCTTCCACATCCCCCACGCCACGCCCCCCTGCTCCACGAGTTGTCCTCCCTTCCTCGACTATCTCCTCCGCCGCCCACCCTCCTCTCCCCCACCCGCTCACCCGGGCCACCGGCGATCCTTCTGCTCCTTCTGCTCACCCTCCTCGTCCCACGTCTTAAGAGCGTCTTTTCCATTCCGGGGCGACAGCGGGCGTTACCATAGGGGGGGGGGCCGGCATTGTCTCGTCTTGCGCCGGCAACGTCTGGGGATGTCTTAGAAACAACTAGAGATAACGAACGGACAACAAACACCCGTACCCATATGGGGGACGGGATGGATGGGGGCTATGGGTGCGTGTTGTCGGATGGGGGTCCCCGCTCGACTGGCCCGTCTGACGCCGTCAGAAGGCGTCTTGGCAGCTAGTGGCGATTCTGAGTCATCTTGAACGCCATCATGAGCGTCTCGGAGGTCTCTTGAGTCGTATGGGGGCTCTTTGGGGGCCGTCCTGGGAGCCTCGTAGGCCGTCCTGGGGACCTCTTGGAGGCCTCGTGGGCCGTCGGAAGGCCGTCTTGAAACATGTCAAAGTCCTTGAAACACCGCAGTGAAAGCAATGATTCTGGCTACTTGGGGGGGGCTCGTGTGGCTCCATTGGGACGTGTTGGTGGCCTCTGGGCAATCTTGAAGCCACTTCGGGCCTCCTGGGGTCCACATTTGGCCATCTTTTGGCCATGTTGAGCCCACCTTGGCAGTCTTGAAGGCATTGGTGGGACCGTCTTGGAGCCCGCCTTGGGTCATAGCGGCAGTCTTGGAGGCGATGTGGGCAGCGGGCTCGTGGGTTTGAGCTTTCCGGGTGGCTGGCGGGTTGGACCGAAGCCCCAGTGGGAGTCGTTAAAAGGACCCCAAAACCAACAACAGTCAGGAGGGGAAAAAACACACAGACACAATTAATCCTCGATTCCCAGGAAAATATGGCAAAATATGGGAAGTGGGGGGGAAGACAGAAACCCAGAATATATGGGAAAATATGGGGACTATTTTTATTTGTGTGTATTTATTTGTGTGTCCTAATTTCCCTTTAGTTCCGCACGCCATGCAGCCCTGCGGCGAGCCACAGGTGGCGGCGGATCTGCAGTCGGCCCGGATTCGTAGGTCGACCCTGCCAGCTCAAGGGTACCCTTGTGTCCCGTGCCTCGCGGCACGTGCCTCCTGACACTCCTGTGGCGACGTGGCCCTCGGAAGGGTCTTGTGTTCTCTCGCGTGTCCTGTCCAATCAAGGCCGACTGTAGGGGCCTTCGGCCCATCCCGCTACCGTGCCTGGGCTGTGGTTCAGAGGCCTCTTGGATCTGAGGGTCTCCTGGGATGCCTCTCCAGGGGCTCTTGGGGGCTCTCGTGGAGGCATCTTGGGGGCCTTTTGGGGCGTCTTCGGGCGTCGTGGGGGCCTCTTGGGGCCTCTTGGGGCGTCTTGGGGGGGCCTCGGGGGCTTCTTGGGGACTCTTGGGGCCATCTTGGAGCGGAAGGCTCGAAATGTGCATTCGTGTTCCCCCTCCTTGGGCTCTGTAAGTGTTTGCTTCCAATCTTGATCGGCTCGTCCAGTCTTCGTGTCCGGGTGTCGTGGTTCGGGGTTTTGCAGGCAGGCGGGACTAGTCGATGGCCGCGCGCACGTCATCTGCGGCCATTCTCCAGGATAGCGTCGTCCACGCGTGTATGGTCAGGGAAGCATCGTCGCGCGACGCTTCTGGGAGGCCTTGTGCCGCTCGTTGGAGGCAGGCATTCTTTTGCAATTTGTTTGTTGAGTTTCTTCCTACTGTTAAGTTGTTTGCTGCAGCAATGTAATGCTTTGCGGCTGGGCCGCCTCAAGATGCCCTGGGTGCGCAATACTAACATTTGTGCTCTTGACGTGGCGACGACGCCGCTGGTGAACCACCAAGTGCCCTCGGTGCGCTGTCGAGGTTTGGCAAGGGGCTGACAGAATCACCGCTCGCCAGCGTAAATGGACCATTCGCATTGAATCCTTGGCGCCTTGGCGTCGTACGCAACTCCCCACGGAACAGACTGAGCGAAGCCTCAGAAAGCTAATAATCGTTAAAACCGTCTTCAATCTTAATACAACAAGTAAGAGTAAACTTGCTGGACTCGCCCAGCCTTCCTGCCCGAGTCGGGAGCGCGGGGCGGGCGGGAAGCGGTCGAAGGCCACGCACAAAAAGCATTTCGCGGCCTCGCCGCGCTCCTGGAGGGTCCTCTCCCGCGCCCGGGAGGGGGGGGGCGGGGGCAGAGAAGCATCCTCGCGCGGCCGTCTCTGGGAGGCATGCGCCGCGTGTTTGCCTGGAGGCAGGCAGCATCGTCTGATTGAACGCCCCTGACGCGGGCAGACATCGCCACCGGAGAATTTGAAAAGGCCGGGTGGGGGCAGGGGAAGGCAATTGACATCCTCAGAGGGCGACAGGAGGAGGCTCCAGACAACCTCAGAAAAAGGGCACGCAGCAGAGTAACGAATTGCTTGAGAGCCCCGGACACATCATGATCTAAGCGCTCCGCTCATCCCGCTGGCCCATAATGCATCAATTGTGCTATATGTTAGTGAATTCGCGACGAGCGAGTAGGTGGAGCAGGAGGAGGAGGAGAAGGAGGAGGATGAGGAGGAGAAGGAGGGAGAATAAAGCACGAGACATCAGTTTTGCTGTGGGGTTGCGTGGCCGCCAGGTTGCGTGGTTGTTGTGCTGCCGTTCTTCAGAATGCATTTTCGGGGGGGGGGGGGGGGTAGGTTGCAGCCACGGCGGTGGCATATCGGTTCTCCAAGCCAGCCGTCTCTGGCATAATAAGTCTGAACCGGCTCAATGCAGCTAAATCCGGCGTAATCTTGGGCATCGTCCGATCAGCCCAACACGTGGCGCACCCCGTGGTGTAGCATGTGGAGTTCCAGAGAGGGAGGAGGCAAGACAAGTAAGAAGGCACCTACGGCAAACACATGGCGCAACCCATGCCATAACCCATGGCGCAACCTGACGTACACCCACTGGCGCAGTCCACCGCACAACCTACCGCGCACCCTATTGAGCAACATACGCTGGTGGTGCCATCTACGTCGCATAGCATGACCCAGCTCGTGGAGATTGGGGAGAGAGTGAGGACGGGGCGTGACGAGAGACGAGAAGAGATACCGGCGAGGCAGGGGCTGAACAAGAGGAGCATGAAAAGGCATAAACATATTTTTGTTGACGGATCGCGCGAATTTCTTGAATCTGCGCTGGACTCCCCTCCTTGGCACCCGGAACGCGCCAGGGGCGGCGCCAGAGGCGCCGCCAGGGAGGCACATGCGCAGATCCAAGAAATCCGCGCGGAGCGCCAAAAGTTCATGTTTGTCGTGTTTCTTCCTCCTTCGAGATGACGAACAGACAGACGGACCTCAAAACGGTCTGCGGCACTGTCATACGGGGGTCGGAGGTGGACAGACCTCCTACCCTGACACGTCGATTGAGGAATTGGCCGTTTTCGATTCGCGAGAAGGCGTCGCGCGGGTCCGGGTCCGTCGGTTTCGGTCCCAGGCCGTTTTCACTCAGAAGAGGTTTACGAAAGGGAGGTTTGTCCACCGCCGATACATGCTGCGCCATAGTTTTTGCCAGGCTTCGCGCTCTCCGCAGCCAAAACAAACACTTTGAACTCCGTGGTTCTGGTTGCGCCACGGGTCGGGCCCTCGGCAGCCTAAACTTGCCAGCGCTGGCTACTTGTTGCGCCGCACGTCACGGAGATCCGCATGTTGTCGGTTGTTGCACGTAGGATTTTCTTTTTTGGGCCGCCGGGTATAACAGAACCCCGAGCTCAGCGTCACGGCCGGTCAGCCCATTCGGCCCACCCGCGCAGCTCCTCATCAAACGCAATTTCAGGCCTCGCCTGAATTCATGAGCTTATGCTCCCTACCAAAGCAGAACGCAAGCAAACAGAGAATTTGGCCCCTCAGGGCCCATGTCCGATCCGATCGATCCGACCCGAAATTGATTCCGGCCACCTCGGTCCGATTCGATTCCGGCAGTCGACGAGCCGATGCGGCCCGAGGCTTGCATGGCATTGCTGTGCATAAGTGGCGCGGCCCGTCCGATGCGATCTCGACCCCGTGCAGATGCAGACCGACCTGGCGCACGCTCCGATCCGATCCGACTTCCAGGCTCGGTGCTGGCTTTCAGTCTGGCCTGTCCCCCGACAGGGAAAGTATTCAAAAATAGTAGAAACTGGCCAGGGGACAATTTTCCGATTATGCTTTGATTATGTTTGAATATTTGTTTTGACCATTTTTTATGGTTCTACCAGAATCTGCGTGTAGGAGGACGTGCCCGGCCTAATGCTAGCTGATCCTTCCCCGTCGACCTCTCGACCCTCGATCCTGGAGCGACGACGGCTGCCAGGACCACCGCAGCGTCAGCGGCCGGAGGCCTCCGTTCAGGCTCCAGGCGGGCCCAGGGGCGTGCGGAATGAATGGGCACGTCCGGCAGGCCCGGGAGCGGAGCCTCGGCGCACAGCCACTTCGATCCCTCGACTCACGCGCCTGGCATCTGCGTCCCCGACGCTCCTCTCGCGAGCGCGCGCGCGAGAGGAGGACCACTTCTGGGGAGAGGACTGGGGGGCTCCTCCTCCTCCTCCTCCTCCTCCTCCTCCTCCTCCTCCTCCTCCTCCTCCTCCTCCTCCTCCTCGAGGGGGGACATGAGAAGAAGAAGGCCTTCCCATCTCTCGAGCGCGCGCGCGGCCGCTGGCGCCTCCCAGAGCCTCCGGGGGCCTCCGAGAGGGCCTCGCGGTTCGTCGCCTGCCTCGCGTGCGCGCGCCGCGGCGCACGCGTCCTGGGGCGGCCCCCGCAGAGGACAGCGGCCGGCCGGTGCGGGACCCGAAGCACCTGGGCCGGGACCTGATCCTCGCCTTCCTGCAGGAGTTGCCGCGCAACTTCTGGGCGCCAGCCTTAAAAAGGAAGCCTCGGAGGTGGACGGACCTCCCACCCTGACACGTCGATTAAGGAATTGGCCGTTTTCGGTTCGCGAGAGGGCGTCGCGCCCTTCATTTTTGCGGGTCCGGGTCCGTCGGTTTCGGTCCCAGGCCGTTTTCACTCAGAAGAGGTTTACTAAAGGGAGGTTTGTCCACCGCCGAAAGCCGCGGTCGGGGGGAGGTCGTGCTCGGCGGGGTGTGTGTTGGAAGCGCGCAGGCGTCTCACGCGTGCACGCACGCGCAGACACGCCCCCCCCCCGGGGGGGAATTGAGAAGGCGGGCCTTCTCAGAAGACTCGGATTTCCCCAGGCCTCCTGATGAAGTGTCCTCAGCCTTTTCCCCAGGGCCGGAGAGGACTTCTCCGAAGAGGCGCCAGGGGTTTCCGAGGAGGCCCGCCGCCTTCTGAGGAGGCCTTCTCCTCCTCACTTCCCCCCCTCGCCTGCTGCGGATGGGTCCCCAGGACCGAGGACGGAGTGCGCAAGGGTTTCTGAGGAGGACTGCCAGGGTTTCTGGGGAGGGCTGCCAGGGTTTCTCCGAAGAGGCGCCAGGGGTTCCCGAGGAGGCCCGCCGCCCTCTGAGGAGGCCTTCTCCTCCTCACTTCCCCCCCCTCGCCCGCTGCGGATGGGTCCCCAGGGCCGAGGACGGAGTGCGCAAGGGGACCCGCGGGCACTGTAGCTCGGGCCACGCGTCGCGGCGGAGGATGCTCACATGTGTAGATAAAGCAGTTTGTTTACACACATGTGTGCATACATATCATATATACACGCCTATATGTGTATATAGGTTTGAACATTTTTATATATACATATATACATATGTATGAATATAACAATGTTCACTGCCCCCCTATGTGTATACACATGCACCACCCACTGCCCCCCTTCTGCTGTCGGCTCGTGCTGTGCCGACGCAGCAGCGACCCCCGCGCGGTCGTGCAGGGCTGCTGGCCGACAGGGGCCCCGAGTCGGCCGAAATCCAGCGACCTGGCGCTGTCAGGGAGTCGCCGCGACGGACTGTTCGGGGCTGAACGGCCCACTTGGTGTCTGGAGCCAACGCCTACGCCCTCGCGACGTGGACTTGCCGCAGGTCAGAGGAGGAAAAGGTACACATGATGAGCCCATTGTCCACCACAACTACCATAGGTGGGAGAGGGAGGAGGGGGAGGAAGAGGAGTAGGAGGAGGACCTCATCCTCCCTTCTCCCCCGTCCTACGGTAGTGGTGGTGGAAAAGTTGCCCATCAACATACCGCGACCATTCCCTCGTTTTCCTGTTTTGTCATGCCTCCTGGGTGGCGCTCGTTTCGAAATTCTGGCCAGAACGCACCCCGGGTGTAGCGGTAGCGGTACCTTCTGGTGTCCTTGAACGGTAGGTTCGCGTCATGTGGACCCGCGGCGAACCCGCCATTATAGGTCGACCCAGAATAGGTCGATGTTGAACGATCTGACGTTTCGGAAACGGCCGATCGTTCAAGGTTGAACGATCTCCACGGTGTCAGGAACCAACGCCGCGGTATTCTCATGTCCCCCGTCTCTCCCCTCCATGACCCCTGTTGAAGGGGCTGGTCGGCCAGGGGTGCCGCGACGCGTGCTCTGTCGGCTGCTTTCGCAGTCGGCCTCGTTCGGTCCTCTCGGCCAGTTTTGCCGCGCCACCTCTGTTCGGTGAGGGCGGTTGCTGTCGGTTTCGGTCTCGCCGTCGGGCTTCCGGCCAGCTCTCGGTCTGGCTGCCACCGCGGACGCTGCCTGCCATCGTCCTGCCCTCCTGTTCGGGGGCTCGGCAGGCGCTCCGCGCGCCCCTTGAGGCACCTCGCGCGCGTCGCCCCGCGCATGCCGCGCGAGTCCCTGGCGGTGCGCAGGGGTCCTGTGGCCGCAGCGCCGAAGCAACGGTTCGCGACCACTGTTCAGTCGGGCACGTCCCTCGACAGGAGGAAGATTCAAAAATAGTCAAACAAATAGTCTGGGGACGACTTTTTCATCACATTTCTGACATTTGGGAGTATTTGTTGACTATTTCCTGTTTTTCGTCCATCCGCCTGTAGGAGGACATGCCCGACCTAAGACCAATGGCGCCGGGCGCTTGTTCGGCATCGGCCCTGATTCGTCTTGCTCCTCCGCGCGGTGGCTTTGGGAAAGCCGCTCCGGCTCAGCGTCGGGGGGTCGCTCTGGCTGGTCTACCGCGGGAAGGGCGCGCGCTTGATCTTAGTTTGCTGTGCAAGGGTGAAGAGGTCAAGATCGGATGCGCAGGTCTCTACTATAATTCAAAGTACACATGTGTACCGTACGGGACCTCGACACACCGAAGTTTCTATCATGCGCCAAAAAGAATTTGCCTTTACACTGGCCTCACATGACCTATCATAAAGGCGGCATCGCCGAGATGACAGGAATCCAAATTTCCAAATTGGAAGAGTGCAAACAAGCAGACACGACATACAAGCCGACATATACCATATTAGTATTCGGCACACGCCGAGAAAAGCAGCGAACACATATAAACGGAAATGATCCCCGCGCTCAAGCCAACACGACGACGGAAGTGGCGAGTGCAAATCCGAAATTGCCGCGTGGGGAATTGCGCCGCGCGACAGCCACCGCAAGCAGCCGCTGAGCAACCGAGTGGGTTTCCAGACCAGGGTTGGCTAACCATCGCAGGAGGATGGTATGCCCACAACTATTGATACAGTCAAGACGCCGAAATTAAGGGCCATGTCTGGCTCAGGAGGAGCTCTGGTCTTCGGGGGCGTGCCTTTGTTCTAGGTCGATCAACCTATTTGTGGCCAAGGTTCGACGTGGCCAGAACACCCTACTCGTTCGTGATTCAGTGGTCCTTCTTGTGGCACAAAGGCTGTATGACGATATGCCCACGCACCTTTACAGTTTAGCGCGCGCAGCATCGTTGGATGCGCCGACTTCATCGATTTCGTGCGAGTGTGGGCAGCTTGCGTCAGCTCCGCCCATTCAACGGAGATGTCCACGATGTGAGTGGCTTGCCCTATTGCGCGCGTGGCTTGCCCACCGCGTCAGTATGGGAGACACGGCATGACGACTTCGCTTCTCGAGGGAGAGGGAAAGAGAGAGAGAGAGAAACAAATAAAGAAAGCAACCGACACCATAACGTGTGTGCGTGTAAGTGCGTATTGTGCGTAGGCCCGCACTTCGCTGCCCAGTTGTGGATGCAGCGCCGCGAAAGAGGAAGTGGTTTCGTGCGATTTCGCGAGCCTGTATTGTGGGCCGTTCGAGTCTGTAGTAGTTTGCCCCGTGGCCCTCTTGTCGCATCCCCGCGCGCAGGGTGAACACAGGGGTACAGCGGCTGGGTCGGTCTGTACGCGTCCGAAGGCGGCTGCGTTCGGTCTGTGCGGGCCTTTTCGGCTGTCGTGCGGCTGCTGCGTCGCGACGCCCCTCTGCGCTGCGTCTGGCCTCTCGGTGTCGGTGCCGCTGCCGTCTCGGTCGGTCTTCGGTGCTGTGGTGCGGCAAGGAGGTAGTCTTCGAGCACAGAAGAAGAGCCCCTTAAACTAATAACACGATGAAGACGTGGCCTCACTCAGGTCCCCGTTTGCGCAGTAGGGATCATATTTCGGGGTAGTTTTGTCTGACACATCGGCAGAAAAAGGGGCCTTTCTTCCTGATGTTCCTGGCCCCCCCAACTTAGGTCCCTTCCTCAAGGGTTTTAGGGGTCCCGTGTTGGGTAAGCAGAGAGCACTCGAGACGATCGGAGGCACCTGGACGGACTGGTCAGCGCGCGGAGATTCGGGGCGTCGTGTTTGGGGACCGGACCCGGTGAGAGCGGGGAGAATGGCAGCAGACGGCGCGAGGTCCGGGGCCCTCTGGCGCGAGGGGGTCTCGGGTGCCAGCGGGCGCTGCTCCCCCCACGTGCGCGGGCCGGCCTGGTAAGGATGGGCAACCTTCAACGGCACCGTAACGGGTACTTATTAACGGGTACTTTGCAATTTTGCCGAAAGTTGCCACTTTAGGGCCTCTTTCTGGCAATGCAGCGTTGCCCGCATCGGGAAGGGTTGGGTTCGCTGGGTCACTGGCCAAAGTACCCGTTAGTGGAGTCCCCGTTTGTGGGGCGCTGAAACTTTCCCAGGGGTACCTTATGCAGCCTTGCCTCCTCGGCCCATCCTTGGCCACGTTCGTTGGCCGCGCCCCGCTTGAGGGGCGTCGACATGGGCGTCCCAGGCCCTTGCATCCTTATCGCGCATCCTCATGGTATTGGGCCGACCGTACTGCATAAACTATCACTTCTGGAGGCCCGCGCGGGCTTCTCGGGTCTAGCTTAGAGGTCGAGGGCCAGAATGTGGCATGCACGCGAGCGTTGGGAGGTCCGCGCGGATTCCTTGGGCTGGCGCTGATCACCCCCCTGACGCCGCCTCTGGCGCCGCCCCTGACGCGCTCCACGCTTTTGGGGGGGGGGTTCAAGCGCCCACTGACGATATCCGCGCGGACCTCCGCAAGTTTTTATGTATATGCGCACTCTTTCGTCTTTTTTTCTGCGCCCTTGGACCGCTTCGGGAACCTACTTGGCGTCGGTCGGACGTGGCATTTATCTCGGCGGCGACCATCGAGGAGCATCCTGGATCACCGAGGAGCAACATAGCACGCACGAAACCGACACACGCACGGGGAACGGACGGCCGAGCGACGGCAAGCCTATGTTCTAGGGCCTCGGGAGACGGTGGACATGGATATACTCGAGCCCCGGGGGCCCGAACATCTCCGCATCCACTGTCTTGTGGGGTCCTGGGATGCCGGCTCCCGTGGCAGAAGGATTACATATATATATATATATACAGATATAGATATAGATGTATAGATATACACGCATACATCTCGGTCTCGGTCTCGGGACGTGTCGATGGCCACTGGAGGGGCCAAGCACGAGCAAGCGACGCTTGTCGCGATCGAATTATACGCCCTCCTAGCCACGGCCCCCCTTTTCAGACGAAACACGGGGGGGAGCGGCCGAAACGGCTCACCTGGATACCCCGCCCCTGGCCAGAAACAAATCGTTGTTCTGTCGCAGGGCCAGAACGGGAAGGGACTGCCGCGACGACTACCACCTACCTCTCCGAGCGCCTGCATCTCTGCAAGTTCTGGAAGGTCGATAAGATCTCGGCCATATGCGCATACATACATACGTAAATGCATGCATGCATGCATGCATGCATGCATACATGCATGCATACATACATACATACATACATGCGTGCATACATACATACATGCATACATACACACACATACATACATACATACATACCTACCTACCTACCTACCTACCTACCTACTTACATACATACATACATACATACATAATTACATACATACATACATACATACATACACGCACACACATACATACATACATACATGCACACATACGTACATACATACATACATACATACATACATACATACATACACACATACATGCATACATACATACATGCACACATACATACGTGCATACATACATACACACATTCTTACGTACATACAAACATACATACATACATACACACATACATACATACATACATGCAGACAGACAGACAGACAGGCAGACAGACAGACAGAGAGACAGACATACATGCATGCATGCATGCATACATACATACATACTTGCATGCCACACACATTAATGCATACATACATACATACATACGTACATACATACATACATACATACATACATACATACGTGCATCTACATTTGTACACATCTTTACATAGTTTGGCCTTGCACAGAGGCACGTACAGTCAACCCGCCTAGTGAGGATGAGTTGTTGTCAAAGGCTACCCTTGCATCCTTGTCTTTTCGGCTAATCCTTAGCGGCTCTTGCTGGCCAGCCTCGTGTGAAAAACTTTGACATGGCCCTCCCAGGCCTTTGAATCCTTACCGCGCGTCCTTATTATGTGGGTTGTCTGTATCATCTTTTTGTGTGCCGTCCCAGCCACGGTCTGCAGAATGTTTCAGGGGTGGAGCTAGCTCGTTTTGGTGGGCTTTCCCCCGCAAAATCCAGATCTCGGCGTCAGGTCGGCGCACGTGCCATGGGCATGAAGGGGGGCTGTTGGGGCTCTCTAGGTTTGGTCACTAATGCTGTGTGCACGTCCTCCGTGCAGTGGTAACCAGAATGACGGACGCAAGAGAGGCGAGCAGGTCAGTTTGGCATCGCTTGCCGAGGTCTTCCTCACCAAGAAGATCCAGGCGCAGGGGCGAGAGCGAGGTCTGAACGACACCTGGACCGGGGGGGGGGTCTCGAAGGTGGTGCCATACAACAGCCACGCCATTCCAGTGAGGGAGAGATTCATCGAGAGACACCGAGAAAGAGAAAAGGAGAAGGGGGACAGCGCATCCATGTACAGAGGCGAGAGTCGAGACACCCACAGGCATGCAGAGAGGAGCATCTTGCTCCTAAGTAACGTTCCGCGAGTCGCGTACCCTTGCCAGTCCATCTAGAGTTGATTCTTAGGCGAGCTGTCGCGAGAAGAACAGTGGAACTGCATCACCACTCAAAGCAAAGGAATGACCCACTCGTGCAGATCCCCAACGCGGCCCACACTGGGGATGTCTTGGGCCTTCGGGCTTCTGTAAGGCTTTGGAGCCCTGCTCTCGACGGGGTCGGCTGTTGTGGCCGTCCTTCGCTGGGCTACGCTAGAGGCGCCGCCAACAAAATAAGGGAGTCCTCGATTCCGCTGCCCTCCGCCCCCCCCGCCATCCCGCCCCACCCACACACACGAACGCACGCACGCACGCACGAATGCACACACACAGACACAGACACAGACACAGACACAGACACAGACACAGACACAGACACAGACACAGACACAGACACAGACACACACACACACACACATACACATACACATACACACACACACGCACACGCACACGCACACGCACATACAGTCACACACAGACACACGCACGCGCACGCGCACGCGCACGCGTACGCGCACGCGCACACGCACACGCACACGCGCACGCACAAGGTCTCTGATGGACGGGCCGCCACTGTACACCGAAGGAGAGAAACCTTAATTCGCCGGCCCAACGGGCCAGAGGCGTGCCAAGGTCTCCGGCAACTGCTTTGCAGTCTTCCTGCTTCGCGCGCCTGGGGCGGCCCCTGGGGGTCCCCGGACGAGAAGTACCCCTGCCGGTTCGGGTCAGAGATGCTTTTTTTTTCTGGGTACCGCCCTTCAGGCCCTCCAGAGCGCTCCAAAAAGGCACCAAAAGGCCCCCAAGACGGTCCAAGAGGGCTCCCAGTTATCGGGCGATCGGTCCAAAACGACCAATGTGGCCTTCAGATGGCCACAGAAGCCTTTCAGACGCCCCAAGAGGCCACCAAGAGCCCTCCCAAGAGGGCCCCCCAGAGGCAAAAAGTCATGGATGTCACAATGGATGTCCTTAGGTTTTGAAGGATTTAGTCGTTCTCTCCTTCTCGCCTTACCCGACTCAGACGTCCGAAGACTTGCGAAAATTACGACGGCAGGCGTTTCCTCGGTCTAGGCCTCATGTGGGTTGCCTTTGGGCTCGAGGGTCATCAGAACGACGAGTTGCCCGGGCCAGATCAAGGGCTCTGGAGGTGGTGGGAACATGTTGCATCAAACAACTACCGTGGAAGTCTGCGGAGTTGTTTTTGGGCACGTTGTATAATATAGGGATTCAGAAGTTCCTGCTCGTCTTGAACTGAAAGTAGATCGGCGAATATGGCTCATTAGCGCCAAACAGCGTTGAATAGCGCCCAACGGCGCCATATGAGGGAGATGCAGACTGTTCGCTTGGTGTGCGATGGGGCGCTTCATTGGGCGCCGTGGGGACGGCCACAAACTTCCGAGGTTTGCCTTCTAATCGTGGAAGCCGGCCACCTTACCCCCTTACCCACGGCGCTGGAAGCCTGGGGAGCCCGTTGTTGCCGTTCCTGGAGGCTCTCCAACGGCACTTGCTGGCCTCGAGTCTGAGGCCACACGGAAGGTTGCCGAGTTGCATCGCTCACACGCACTCCAGCAGTTGCGAAGCGCCCCGGCTCGCCTATAGGCCCACCAGAACATGTTCTGAGAACCTTTTGTGGTCTGCGCGAAATGTTCTTACAACATTTCTGGCAGAAACCTTATTGTGTCAACACATCGGGTTTACGTTCTAAGAAGCTTGTTTCTCTTCTTAGTCCATGTTTGAAGAACATGTCGTGGGAGGTCTATAGGAATGCCGGGACGGTCGGTCCCTGCTCAACACACACATGTGCAGCTAGCATGCCTTGTCTGAGTTGTCTTTGTTCGCCCCAGGCAAATTCATTTAATCGCTTCGCTCATTCCGCCGGCCCATTTTGTCGCAACGTTGTCGGCTGGCCGAGTGGTCGTTTGCAGTGTGGGCCTGCGCGGGCGTTTTTTTTTTCCTGAGTCGTTTCGTTCGGAATGATGAAGCAGCTCTCGTGGAGCAGTCTGGGGGCGATTCGTCTGGACTTTCTGGGAGTTGTCGGAAGAATTTCTTGTTTTTGGCTCGGGGTTTCTAGGTGTTTGCTGCTCTCTACTACAGCAACCACCTAGACATTGCCTCGGAGGACCATTGCCTCGGAGGATTGCTTTGGCAGGGTTCGGCACCATACAGCCCCCTATCTGCCGTGTGTCTTTATTCGCCCCAGGCAAGTTTATTTGCGTGGCTCTTCCACCTCCCCCCTCCGCCGCCTTGTCAAAAGAGCTGGGCCGAGAAGGCGTGCAAGCGATTCACGACTCGCGGTCAGTCCAGATCTTCGTGCGGGCTTCGCATCAATTTTTCCTCCATGCAAGTAAACCTGCTAGAATCTGAAGAGCAATACAGAGATTTAAGCCTTCCGCACCGGTGATCCCCCCTCCCAAAAGAGAGAGAGAGAGAGAGAGAGAGAGAAAAAAAGAGAAAGAGACAGAGAAAGAGACAGTGTCGCCCACCCACCCTGCGTCTCACAGAAGCACCGCAGATTGCCGCCCTTGTCTTCCTGGACCTCCTTGACGTCCTCGCCGAGGTTGGGAGGGGCCTGGCTACGACTGTACCCAGTTCTTGCTGGGTTCTTGCGCACAGATCGTCACCGGAACGGTTGGTTTCGTTGGTGTCTGCGTCCCATCGTGAGCAGCCTCTGGCGTTCCTTACTTGGCGCTCGTGGTTGCCGCCTCGTTTGGCTTTTGGAGCCGAAGGCCTCTGGTCCTTCGTCTTTCGCAGACGGGGGGGTCATCTTACAAACAAAGGCCGAGGGCGAGGGAACGCTCCTAGCAAACAAGCATGCTGGGTTCTTTTCTGTAGCAACCCCATCGCCTCCTGGGCATCTGCGAAAATAGTCGTGCTTCGTGTTTTTTTTGGGGGGGCATCAAAACAATGTGGACGACGGCGACGACGCCGCCGCCGCCGGACCACCAACGCTTCTCTTGGTGACCACAGCGCGTGATGAGGCCGTGGGGATTCGGGGTCACCGCACGGTTCTGGACTCGCGTCGTGCTCCGAGGACGTCCTGGTCCTGGGCGACTGGGGGTCGCGAGCCCGCGCTCTCGGACGCCCCCCCCCCCTCTTGGACGGCCTCCCTCTTGGACGCGGAGCCCTTCTCTTGGATGGCCCCCCTCCTGGACGGCCCCCCTCCTGGGCGGCCCCCCTCTTGGACGCGGAAGGCCGGGCTCCTTCTCCCTGGGGGGGGGGGGGCGGCGAAGCACGAGCGCACGCCGCGCGGCGCTGGGCGCACGAGCCGCGCCAGCCGCGCGCTCGCGCGGCCGCGTGCCCTCAGCGCGGGGCTCAGTCCCAGAACCCCTCGCGCGGTGAACAAGATTACGACGGGAGGTTGTTCGCTACCGTCGGCCTCGGGGGGCCCTTACCGGACCTGAGGACCGTCAAAAGCGGCTTGAGGATGAAACACCGGTCCCGGGGAAGAGGTCCAGACCTCTGGGGGTCGACGCTTTACACAAATCATGACGTCGGGGGTCTGGGAGCGTGCGCGGCTGCGCGCCATCAGTGCAGGGCTCAGTGGTCGACCCATCTGGTCAGAAGGCCGTTCCTCTTCAGGCTCAGGCAAGTTTACGTGCATGGCATTTCCCCTCCCCCACCCCACCCCACCCCCTCCGCCGCCTCTTCGGACAGCGCTGGGCCGAAAAGGCGTGCAAGCAAGTGAGTCCTGACTTGCGTGAAGTCCCGATTTCCTGTCGGGCCTCGCCACGCCCCCCACCTGAAAACAAGTAAACTCGCCAGAGTCTAAAGAACAACCTACTCAAGAGGCTGACCAGGAGGGAGACGGAGAAGACGAGGACGGCCTCGAGCCGTATCCGTGGGATCGCTCCTCCGTGTCCACACCGCAAGGGCACGGTTAGGGCACGGTCATGGATACGCTTGCCGCGTGTGATATCGTTGGTAGCTGCTTCTTGTAACCCGTTGCCTGCTGCTCTTTCCTCTCCCCTGCATCAGGGGCAGCGTCAGCGGGGTACAGGCTCAGGTTTGGGGGGGGGGGCCTGAGATCCCCCGATCGTCCCCATCCATCGCCGACGGAGCCCGACAGCCCACCCCGCCCAGGACCGTGCGCACTTGCTGCCAGGGGCCTATCTCCCGTCGGTCCGTCGCCGATTCCAGGTCGACCGCACACTGAGGCCCACCCCCCCTTTGGAATTCGTGGGCAGTAGACATGTCCGCAGTCGCCGCTTCGCGGGCCGGGCCTCTGGGCCGCGAACCCGCGGATGCGGGGTGTTTCTTCGTGCGGGTCGTGTCCGTGCGACCGCGTACGCGTAGCCGTGCGGACGTAACCCGCGGATGCGGTGTGCCCCGCGCGGGACGTATCCGTGCGACCGCGTACCCGCCGACCGTCGAGGACAAAACGAAAGAGCCCCTGACCCGGATAGCGCAAGGAGGGCGTGGCTCGCTTCGGGCCCGCGGTCTTTCCGCCGGGGGCACTTCATCTGTGTGGTTTTTGTTGGGTGCAGCCGTCCCATTTGGCGGGGCAGCACGCGGACCAAAAAACGGCAGGGGCGCCGCGGAGGCGGGCCGCGCGCCCGCCTTCCACGTCTTCCAGGGGACTCCAGCGGCCCGCTGCGCGCGGTCAGCGGCTCGCCGCGCGCCAGCATGGAGACGCGCTGCAGCTCCCAATGGCCAGGTGCCAGGAGGCTGAAACAGACCCCAAACATCGCGACAGGAGGTTGTCCGCGAATTTCGGCCTCGTGGGGGGCCCTTACCGGGCCTGAGGACCGTCAAAAAACGCTTCACGATGAAAAACCCGTCCCAGGGAAGGGGTCCAGACCTCTGAGGCTCGACACTGTGAACAAGTCGCGACGTCGGGGGTCTGGGGATCGCGCCCTGGGGACCCGGACCGCGAGGGCTCGGTTGCGGACAAGTTCTCGCCGACGGCGTGCCCGGCGCTCCCCTCTTTGCCGCAGCCGCGGCCGCGCGCGCAAGAAGGACCGAGTTCTGCGACGCCCACGCGCCGCGGTTGCCCCAGAACGAGACCAAGGCCATCCGGGACCCCAGGCCCCCGTCGTCGTCGTCGTCGTCGTCGTCGTCGTCGTCGTCGTCGTCGTCGTCGTCGTCGTCGTTGTCGTTATCGTCGTCGTCGTCGTCATCGTCATCGTCGTCGTCATGGTCATGGTCATTGGAATCATGGATCGTCATCATCCATCGTCATCGTCATCGTCATCATCAGGCCCGCGCCCACTCTAGGCCTCTTGGATGGGGTCCGAGCAGATGGGGTCGGAGGATCGCGCCGCATCGCCGATGCATCGCCGATGCATCGCCGATGCGGCTGTATGTGGAGCCCGATTTTCTCCTCGCTGGCGTCGACGATGCACCGCCGACGTCGCCGTTGCATCGGCGGTGCATCGGCGATGCCACTTTAGACCTCGCGTAATGGGGGGCGGTAAATGAGGGCGCGGCGAGGGCTGCAAAAAAAGGACCCTGACAGGCTCCTGAAGGGTCCCTTCAGGGCCCCAACGGGGGCCTTCAAGGTCCAAATGGGCACCTTTCTTTCCCCCCCTCCATTTATCGTCCCCGCCATTATGCGACGCCCAACCACTCGAAGCCGCGCCGCTGCTGTGTCCTGAGCAGGGGAGCGTGCCGGAGCGTCGAGGTGACGTTGTCGTCGTCGAGGCTACGTCATCGACGCGACGTCGTCGTCGCCGAGTCGAAACAACAACAAATTCAAGACGCTCCGCGTCACCCCACCAGCCCATCCGGGAACGATGCCCAGACGGGTTGCCAGGATCAGGGATGTGGAGGAGCACGCAGTGGAACGACAGGGCTAGGTAGGAAGTCATGCCCCAAGAAGCGGAGGACGGAGGAAGAGAAGGGGGATGAGGAGGAGCAACCGCAGGGCCATGGGATTCTTACCTGAAGTGGTTTCGTGCCCCTCCGACCCCTCCAGGGAGGCCACTCCAGAGCGTGCAGGTTCTCGCTACACCACGATGTTTCTCAGGTTTCGTGCTGTTCAGACCCCTTTATAATGAGGCCCCGCCAGAGCGAGCAGGGCATCGTTATACAATACTATTTGTCAGGTTTCGTGCTCCTCCGACCACTTCAAGAAGGCCTCACCAGAGCGAGCAGGGCGTCGCTAGACCACGCTAACATATCATCGTACATGCGAGTTGCTGGGACGATGGATTCCTCCCGAACCCCGACCTTTGTTGTCTCCACCCTGTGATAATCAGGGGCATAGGGTTAGGAAGAGGATGGGGAAAAGGGAGGAGGAAGGAGGGGGAATCAGCAGATGAGGAAGGGGAGGACGAGGAGGGAGGAGGTGGGCGAGCAGAAGGGCCAGGGGGCCTCTTGGATGCCTCTCGGAGTCTTTTCGGATTTTCTTCCGAGAGCTTCTTGGAGTCCTTTTGGGGCGTCCTGGAGGTCTTTTTGCAGTCCTGCGTGCCGCTTAGGGGCGTCTTTGTTGCCTCTGGGAGGCCTCTGGGGGCCTCTTGGGGGTCTCTTGGGAGCCTGCTGGGGGCATCTTGGGGGCCTCTTGTGGGCCTCTTGGGGGCCCCTTGGCACATCTTGGGGCCGTCTTGGAGCTGGCACCCTTGGGCGCCTCGGGGGTCGTCTTGGAGGAGATCGATCGAAGGAGGATCCGTAGTAAAGTAGCCCCCCCACCCAGGATGCCAAAATCTAGCCCAAATCATAGTCATATCATGTTGGCCGTCTCGCCAAGGGAAACTAATCCTATGACACCCCGCGAAACGCCCCGTTCAGGTCCAGGCGGAGGGGTTTCGGGAAGGGTTAAGCTCCTCCCCGATGTGGAAGAAGGGGGTTGCAAGAGGAAACTCTCCAAGCCACTCACGCCTTAAAGGGTTGGGATTGCGTAGGCATGAACTGTTGAAGCTCCGCGCGGGGTTCTTGGACCTGCGCTGGGCGACGCCTCCGGCGCCGCCCTTGGCGCGCTCAATGGGTCCAGTGCCGATCCAAGAAGTCCGCGCGGAGTTCAATCATCTATCTCTAAGCCGTTGTTTCTTCTTGCCTGTTGACGCCTTTGTTTCCGACGGCTGTCGGAGTTCTTGGGGTTTCGTCGCCTCGGGGGCGACGATGAGGGCGAGTAGCCCCAGGGCGGGCGTCGCCGAAGGCATGAACCATCTGCGCCCCTCGATACATGTATTGCTCTCCCCTGGCTTATTCGCCCCCGATCGCCGCGGCTGCACGCGGCTTGAACAAGTTGGTTAGAGCGGAAGTGTCCGGGGCCAGGTCTTGGGCGGAGTTCGTCCAGGAGGATTAGGGGAGCTGCCGGCTCCGCGTAAGAGTGGCCCTTGGCTAGTGGAGTCCCGGCCCACAGGGGCAGGGGAGCCCAGCATCGGGTCGGCAAGTAGGATCGGCGATCCAAGTGAATCGGAACGGCGGAACTCGGCAGCCAGATCGGGAGAAGTCGAGTCGGCAGAGATCGGCAGGCTAGCGGGCCTCCATGGAGAAGTCGGGATTCGAGTCGGAGTCCGAAGTCGACTCGGGGCAGAATCGGAAGCCGTCGAAATCGAATCGAATCTGATCGGTGGGGTCGGACTGAGCCTCGGACAGGGATCGCCCCAACACTGGCCTGCGCGGCTGGATTTGGCCACGCTGCGGTCCCCTAAAGTCGTGCACCAAAGGTCACTCTTGCCTAGAGGTTGTTCAAGAGGAGAAAGAACACAGACACGATTAATCATCGATCCCCAGGAAAATATGGGAAACTATGGGAAGTGGAGGGTAAGACAAAAATCCCAGAACATATGTGAAGATATCGGGAATCCTTTTCTTGTGTGTATTTATTTGTGTGTCCCAGGGCCCCTTCAGTTGTTTTGTTATTATCCTCTGGCGTGTAACGGTCGTTGCCCGGGCCAAGCCCGTCCCCCCCGTCCTGAAGATTTGTAACGATCGTACCAATCATTTGCAAGACGCGCGAAGCCGGCCTGAGCGGTCCCAAGAACCATCCCCTCCGAGGCCCCCAACAGCCTCCAGGATAATCGGAAGATCTCCCCCACAACCCCCCAGACGCCCTGTAGCAATCCCCAAGACAGCGCTCAGACACTCCAAAACAAACCACAACGAACCCCTTCACTCCAAGATGGCCCACTTCAGATTCAATGTCCAACGTTTCGACAGGCAACATGTTGGAAGGATTTCGGGGCGCGCGTGGAGGCGCGCGCGTGTGGCCCGTAGTGTCTTTTGTCACGTATTCGTGAACTGGGCGCATGCTTGACCAACGCGGGCTCACCGGAAAGATCGTCTCCGAATGGATCCAGCAAGTGCCCGCGGGCAAAAGTGTTGCATTTGTTGTTGAACAGCACGTATTGTGTTTGTTGGGCATAGTATTGCGATGTTTTACGAGGCTATTGTGTCTTGGTATGGTTTTGTCATGTACGCACGCGTGATGTTTGTTTACACTTGTTTTGAATAACGTTTCTTCTGAAATAAAGAAGTGTGCGCGTTGTAGTCTTTGATAGGGACGAGGGGCGCTGGCCTGGCTGGGATGGTTATGGTTTGATGTTGGTAGTGCGCGCTGGGGCAGAACCGTATGCACACTGCTGTACGAACGGGTGGACTGGTCACCCTGAGCGCGGGAGGGTGGTGCAGTCTGTTCTTGCTGTGACATGGAAACCTTTGTGCGGCAGTATCTGCAGAATACTCCATGTCGTTCAACCGCCGTCGTGCAATAACAAGGAGGAGCAGGAGGAGGAGGAGCAGCAGGAGGAGGAGGGGAAGGAGGATGAGGAGGAGCAGCAGGAGGAGGAGGGGAAGGAGGAGGAGGAGGAGGAGGAGGAGGAGGAGGAGGAGGAGGAGGAGGAGGAGGAGAGGGGAGGAGGAAGAGGAGGGGCGATTTTTAGTCCCCGACGAGAAAAGCAGGGTGCGGGAGCATAACTAAAGACCCTGAAGGGATATGTGTTCGTTTTCTCATTCATTGTTTGGCCGATCGGCGCGGGCCCTCGCAATCCCCCCTCCCCCCCACCCCCGTGGAATAGATCTTGGCTGTGTTGGGCGCCTGTTTCGAGCAGGTGGGGTCTCCCCCCCGAGGACGCACTGTTGCAAACGGTAGCACTACGCAGAGGTCAGGGGCCAGACTCCCCCCCCTCTCCTCCTCCCTTCCTCCCGATGCCCAAACGCCGTATAAGAAAACGTTCACTAATTTGTGGAGCAGTCCACGCGTGCAGTCGGAAGCGCAGGCATGCGCACGAGGCGGCCACGAGGCGGCCGCGGGGCAGGCACCTGGCGACGAGCCCAGGAAACGCTGGCCAGCGCCCGGGGCAGCCAGGAGGCGATCACGGGCGGGGCGACCGACCTGGAAAACGTCACCCATCCCATGATTTTTGGATATTTCACTTTCCCAGTCGCGACCGACGAGCTCGGTCGCTACCGATTTTGCTTCGAATTCCGATATCGGCCGCGGTCGCGATCGATTTGCTTCAAGATGAGTTGCGACCGATCGGTCGCGATCGGTGGCGACGGGTCACGACCGATTTGGGGATCGGCCACGATCGGTCGCGACCGATTTGGAGTGCCGATTGGTCGCCACCGATCACGACCGAAAAAGATGGGTATCCAATGATCAGGGTCGCACGAAGCGGAAACAACACGGCACTGGGTGGAAAACCAGAAACGCAGGCCAATTCGTGTTTCGGAAGCTTTGAGACGAGGGTCAGTGAAGACGGGGGTCAGCCAGAGCGCCGGACCTTGCAGGGGCCTGCAGAGCCAGGGTTGCACTGACCCGTGTTTGGGTGCAGGATCCTGTAGGATTTTGCAGGATCTTGCGAAGCCTGATTGACCCAGGCAAAACCAGGCACTGGGCGAAAATCCGAAAACGCAGGCCAATTTGTGTCGATCGCAAGTAGCATTCTTGTCACAGTTCGAGTTTGTTTGGGGGGTTTAGGTTTCCTTTGTGACCGCCGCGGATGCCATTTGTGGTTTCCATCGCCCCGCATTTCACTTGCCGAAGGGCTCCTGGGGAAAACTGACACACACACACACACACACAAACACACACACACGCGCACACATACACACACACACACGCACACACACACACACGCACACACACACACACACCATTTTTTGCGGTAGCGGCCTCGAGCGCGGCGACGAGGCGGAGAAAGTGCATAGACAGTACGCGCGTCGCCGGTGGGACTCGGCCTCAAGCCGTTCTAACGTGACCTCCAGTGCGCGCGCGGGCCAGGAAAGGAAGCGAGTCCGCTGGGCTCTCACGGGGTAGTGGCGAAGCAAGGCACCCACACGATGCAGGACATCATTGAGGATAAAATAACTCCTAACCCTGATGACACGATGAAGACGCAGCCTCACTGAGGTCCCCTGGGCGGTTTGGTTCGATACACCTGCAGAATAGACCCCATATCCCTAATGTTCCTGGCCCTCCTAACTGAGGTCCCCTCCCAAAGGGTTAGGAGTCCTTTTTTGGTCATTCGGGACAGGCCCGAGCCGTGCAGAATTAGGACGGCAAGGGGCCCCGCCCAGGGCTGCAAGCGGCCGGCGGGGCAGGAGCGCGGAAGGCGTAGAGCGGGGTGCGGCTCTCAGCGGGTCGGACCGTACGTGGACATTCCATTCGAACCCTGTGTCCCAGGATGCCCCCCAGACCCCCCGAAATTAATATTGATGGCGTGACGACGGGGGGGGCGTGAGTGGACAGAAGTATTCGAACCCCAAATCACCGCTTTTACTGAGATCAACATTGATGTTGGGGGCTTGGAGGTGATTTAGAATCTCCCTCGAATGTGTAAGGGTTCGAATATATTGTCCATCTACTGGAGAGTGGCTTGTTCCCCCGCGCGGCACGCAAGCGAGTTCTTAAACGCGTGCCACCAACCACATACGGAGCGCTTGCACACTGTCCAGATTACAGTAACCCCGCATAAGAAGGATTGGTATCCTTCCCAAGGGTACCCTTGCATTCTTACCTCCTCGGTCCATCCTTAGCCACTTTCGCTGGCCGCGCCCGCTTCAAACGTTTCGGCATGTGCGTCCAAGGCCTTGCGTCCCTATCGCGCATCCTTATGATACGGGCCGACGGTGCATATCTTCATTCTGGCATGTTTTCGCTCTGCCGCCACACTACTCTGCACTGCCATTCCCTGTCCCTCGCGCTGTTCTTCTCTCTAGTGCCCCTCCTGGCGCCCCGCCCCCCCTCGCAAGGAATCTGGAGCCCAGGTTCCTCATCACCTTCATCGCGTTCGTGCTGGACGGGCATCGGGAAGAGGCAAGGGGCAGGGAAGTGGCTCGATCATGCAGGCGTTCCAGCGTTTTCGAGCCTTGAGGAGACCGCCACTTTCAGATGCCTCTGGAGACATCCGGAGACGTGCGGAGAAGCTCCGGGAGGAGGCAGAGGAGATCTGCAGAGCGCGGCCAGCAGTGGAGGAGACGCGGGAGGGAGGGAGGGCCACGAGAGCAAGGCGGAGGGAGGGGAGCAGCGAGGGAGCAGGCGCGGACGGCAAGGGGGAAGACTTGCGGCATGGGAGGGGCATTTCGGAACTGGAACAGCCGGCGTCGCGGAACCAAGGCGCGATGGCACATTCCGGGCGGGTGGCAATGGGGCCAAATGGGGGGTGGAGGAAGGGGTCCTGACGGGTCTTTTGAGGGCACCTTTTGGAGCCATCAGGGGCCAGAAATGGGCCCTGAAGAGCCCCCTCAGGGCCCGTCTCGTCACCCCCCCCCCCCACGTATGTCACCCGCCATTACCACCCGCCCGACGTGTGTTCTGGGTCCTCGGGGGCTCGTTTCGGGCGTCTTGCGCCGTCACGAGGCATCGGGGGCTCGCGCACAGAACAAGGCGCGACGTCGTAGGTGGGTAAGTCATGGAAGTTTCCGCTCGTCTTGGAACGACTGTATATCGGCGAATAGCGCCCAATAGCGTTCACCAGCGTCAAACAGCGCCCAATAGCGCCCAGTAGCGCCGAATAGCGCTCAAATGGCGCCCAATAGCGACCATGTGATGGAGATGCGTTCTGTCCGCTTTGCACGCGATTTGGCGCGCAATTGGGCGCCATGTGGACGACCAACAACTCCTGTGAATTGCTTTCCAACGGGGCTCGCGCACAGAACCAGGCACGACGTCGGATGTTTGGGAACGCGCTCTGAGTTTACGAAGAACTGAGTTTACGAAGCCTCGTTGGGCTTCGATGCGGAGGCCCTCGCATTAGAGGGGCCGACGCAGAAGGTCGCGGCCCTCGGTGCAGCTCTCGCGTCATAAACAAATCACCAGCGCTGACATGGGGCCCTCCTTGCTTTGATCGGGGAATATCGAGCTTTCAGGGAAGTTTATAAGAGGTTCCGGCAGCAAAGTATTGGAGCCTTGTATGCCCTCGCAGTTCCGTTTCTAGAATGCACTAGCGTCGATGAGCGTCTTGTAATCAGTGAGGTAGCGCCGAGTCAGTGTCGGTCAACGTAGACTGGTGTCGATTAGCGTTGATTTGGCGTCGACTAAAGTCGGCCAGTGGAAGCCCGTGCCAAGAAACACCCTGCTTGCCTCAAGGGTTCCATGGATTGCTTGCGCTTCTATGGTCCTGTTTTTGGAAATCGTGACGATCCCCACACCCAGGACAAATCCGTGCACGCCCTGGGGCCTCAGGCTTGGGCTTCCTGTGGAAGGCCTCTCGTGGTCGAGCTCCTGGCGTGGTGGTGCACGTTCTGCCTGCACGTGGCGGGGCGCGTGCGTCCCTCGTGGGCTCCCCGCTCCCTTTCCCCCCCCGTGCCACACCCGCGGGCCGGCCGCGCGCCCTCGCGGGGTCTCGGGCAGCCCGGGGGGGAACAGGGGGGCCTCGTCCCCAGAGAGAGCTCCACCGCGGGCGTTTCCCGGGTGCCCGCCGCGGCGGGATTGTTTTTTATTCATGGGGGGGGGGGGAGCCGGGAAGGCAGGGGGCCACTGCATCCACGGAGTTCGGGTGTGGCTAGAGGTGCCCCCGGCCCAAGGTGCCCCCAGGAGTCTCGGGGCGGCCCAGGCGGCCTCCAGAGCACCCCGCATCGAGGCCCAGGGGGCCCCAGGTGGCCCAGAGTGGGGCGAAGAGCTTGGGGCACCTTGGGCCAGGGGCACTTCTAGCAACACCCGAACAGAGCTTGGGTCCGGGATGCAGAATGATCCCCTGCGGGGGAGGGGCCATTGGCCGAGGGCAAAGGTACACCCTGGCGGCAGGAGGCACTGAACAGCATGACTCAATAGCAGAGGGAGCCACATGCTGCACATACGGGGGGAGCATGCGGGAGACCACGATCGGAGGAGATGGAGTTGTGGAACAATGCATGCCCGAAGGTCCCCGCGGATTCCCTTGATCTGCGCTGAAGCTCTTTGGTGGCGCCTGCCGCGCCGTCCTTGGCGCGCTCCGCCCCCCATTGAGCAGCACATATGCATGAGATCCGCGCGGACCTCCGATCGTCGTTGTGGAGCCAGTTCTCTCCTCTACACGAGCTGCCGACGGTATATCCGCAATGGCTCCCACCAGTTTCAGAATCAGCACTGGGCTCTTCGAGCGCAAGCTGTTTAGGGAAGCGCACCGACGGATGTCTGGGTTCCGCGCAGCCCTCTTTCGCATGCGGGACGCCTCAAGCGAACCCTCCGTCCCTCCGAGACGGTCGCCCCCCTCGCGCCACAACCCTTCTGCGCGCTGGCCTTCGAGTTCTGAGTGTTTTTTGTTTTTCGGCGACGCCCCTTTCCCCCCCCCCAGTGACATCGGCCCCTTTGCCACGGCATGTGGATGGTGCATCTTCCTGAGTGTTATGATGTTCCATTTTCGCCTGAAACACCAGAAACAATGTCGAGCACCAAGAAAGTACCGAAACTCTAGGGTTGTCACGTGTCGGGCCCTGGGAGACACTCGTTCGACACTGTTTCGACACTTTTTAGACACTGTTTCGACACTGTTCTGGGTGCTCGAAATTATTTCTGGGATGTGTTTTTTTTTTGTACGAGGGGGGTAACATACCCTGAGTGGTTGTTGTTGACGCCCCTTGGACCAGGAAGCGGACTCCGGATGCCAGAACAAACGCGCCGGTACAAGCAGCAGCCATTCGCCTACTGTCTTCCGCGCTGTTCGGTCTGCGGGCTCGCCCCGTTTCGAGGAGAAGGACGAGGACGGCGGCGTCGCCGCCATAATAGATGACTTCCAGTTCGACTTCACGCTAGAGGAGACGCCGTCGCGCGAGCGGCGCGCCTACTCTGTCTTGCCGCCGCCCACCAGACCACCCCATTCCGACCCGAAGGCCCGATGGGCCCTCCATTCCCAGTGTTTGGAGGGGGGGGGTCGGGAAACAGTGAAGAAACATGCGCGAAGCCCGTAACCCCCCCCCCCCTCCCCAACGCGAAACTCGAACCTCCAGGTTGGGTTGGGGTGGTCTGGCAGGTAGTCTCAAGTCGGGCCTGTCCCTCTACGGGGGGAAAATGCAAAAATAGTTCAGAAATAGTCCGGGGACGATTTTCTGATTCTGTTATGACCCTTTTTGGGGATATGTTTTGGGTTTGTTTTTATATTTTTTGATTTGTTTTTTACATATATATATAAACATATATATATATATATAACAAAAAAACGGCCCCTCTCGGCGGGGGCCCCGCGCCCCGCGGGCCCCCGCCGCCGGGAGCGGGGCCTCGGCGGGCCGATCGCGTCGAGGCCTCGGGCGGCTCGGCGGGCAGTCGGCCGTCGGTGGGTCGGCCGAGCGAGCGGGGAAGCGCCTCGGTGGGTCGTGGCGTGCTCGTCGATCGATCGATCGCTCGGTCGGGGATCGTTCGATCGTCGATCGACCGTGCGGTCGAGGATCGTCGATCGGTCCTCCAGGAACGATCGATCGATCGATAGGTCGACGATCGATCGATCGATCGATCGATCGATGGTCGATCGTCGATCGCTCCTCCTAGCTGCGGCAGCCGTTCCTGCGGCCGAGGCCCCGCAGGAGGCAAGGCGAGGATCGAGGCTCGAGGGGTCAAGGTGTGAGGACTGTGGCATATGTCTGAACTTGTCATTCGCGAGGTGGTCGCGCCCATTATCAGGTCGTTCCATTCATGGGCAGGTGGTGTTGCGAAACCAACAGGTGATTAGTATGTGGACCGACTGTCTCACTGACCAACCCGATTAAACTGGCCCACCGTGAGCAGGCTTTTTTTGTAGCAGCCTAGACCAGAGTTTGTGGCGAAATCAACAGCGACTTCCGTACCCCCAGAAACTGCTCACAATCTTTCTGGGACCGTTTCTTTTGTCCCATTATGTCAGGTTTGTTGTCTTTGAGAACGATGTTTGAAAGCCCAGGGCCGAAATTCCAGATGCCGAAGTTTACACAAACCATTTCGACCCGTGAACCCGGCCCCCCCCCCCCCGCAGCCCACACGCCGCTCCCCCATCCCTTCGGGCTGTATCGCCTGCGAGGTCTAACTCGACATCGGCGCTCGTTTCTCCTTCGATCGCATCAGGTCGGTCTAATCCGTCCTATTCCGAACACATCAAAATACTCCCCCACCCCACGAAAGATTGGACGCCTCATGACTTGTGCAACTGAATTTCCCGCCCCCCCCTTAGATGCGGGTGCTTTGCGATTCAGGCCCCCCTGGCGAAACTGCAAGTGTGCTTCATTAGTGATGCTGGTCGCCCTGACGAAATCGATGGCAATGGATTGTTCTGCAAGCGTGGAGCTTGGGCCACAAACCTTTTCATTGGAGGCCGCTGCTCAACAAATCACAAAATCAACCTGTCGCGATCTCAGTTATGGTAGAGCTTTCTGTTGCGTGGGCGTAGTGCGTGGCATTGCTTGGCATACCGCCTTGCAGATGGAGGTTGCAGTGCTTGGCCTTGCGTGGCATTGCTTGGTATTACTTGGCATTTCTTGGCAGTCCTTGGCTTTGCTTGGCATTGCGTGGTATTGTTTGGCAATGCTTGGCATGACTTGGCATTGCGTGTCGAGGCAACACGGGCCACAGACCAAGCAACCAAGAAGCACAAGCAAAGGACCAGGGCCCCAAGACCAAGCAACCGAGGAACCAAGTCCAAGGAGCAACCACCAAGGAACCCAGAGCAAGGCAACAAGGAACCGAAGAGCCAACACCAAGGAACCGAGAAGTCACGACCACGGAACCCAGGATCCGGGGAACCAAGAGTCCCAGACGGAAGAACCGCGGAACCGAGGAAGCAAAACCAAGGAACCGAGAAACCAAGACCAAGGAACTTAGGAAGCCAGACGTAGGCGCCAAACCAACCACGGCCAAGGAACCAGCGAGCCAAGACCAAGGAACCAAGCAACCCAGACCAAGCAGCCAAGGAACCGGGGAACCATGACCACGGAAACGACGAGCCAAGACCGAGGAACCAAGAACCCAAGGAAGCGAGAAGCCAAGACGAAGGGATCGATCAGCCAAGGAGTTGAGCCCGAGGGGCCGAGGACGCAGGACGACCAGCAACGAACGGAACCAAGAACGAGGACACGCAGAATCGCGGAGAAGGCCAAGGGCCCCGAGGAACCCATCCCAAGGAACCGAGGAACCAGTACCCAGGAACCGAAGCCGAGGAACGGAGGGAACAAGGCCAAGGAACCGAAGGAATCCGGGCGCCGCGTTCTAGGGAAACCAGGCGATGAACTTGGGGATACCACCCTGTAAGGAAACAAGATCAGGAGCCCCAGGGACCCCCTTTGTAAGGAACCAGGACGAAGCAACGCTGACGCAGACCCCCAGGGACCTCCTTTGTAAGGAACCAAGAAGAAGGAACGCTGACGCAGACCGGCGACGGCACCCCTCGAGCGAAGCCCAACCAGGGACACGCGCGACCAGAGCGACGGCGGCGGACCCACGCGGTCAGTCGCATTGCCGCCCACGGTGCGGTGCGGTTCGCTTCGCTGGTTGGGGGGACGCGGTTCCGATTCGGTTCGAGTCTCAGTGGCAACGAGAAGGGGTGGATCGGTTCGGGGGATAGCGCACTGACCTCCAGCCGCCCACTGTCTGCTGATGGGGGTCTGGTAGCCTCAGCCTGCACAGGATCGTGCGGATGCGCCATCGGGTGCACATCGCCGACCTGTTGGCGATGCAACGTCGAATCCAGGTCGATGTGTCCCCCCCCGGTCGACAGTTAGAGGAGGACCGGAAACAGCAACGACGATGAGGAGCAACGGTGTGGGAGGCGACGACAGTGGCAATGATGCATTTGGCGATAGGTCCCGCTATTTTTCGCATTCAGAGACTGCGCGAAATGTATCATGCGCGTTTATCCTTGATCTTGTATGTCTGGTTGGTTCTCACGTCCTCGGGTCTCGCAAGAAGAAGGCGATTGCTCACTTACGATGATGGTAGCAATGACCTGGATGGTGGCAATGACCGTGATGGCGATGATGTTGGTGACGTTGATAGTTCGCAAGGCGGTGGGCACAAGGACGAAGTTGTATGAGAACATGCGCATTATTTTGGACACACAAGGATCATGCGAAGAATCCTTGCCAGACTCAACCCTCGGCTCAAGTTTTAAGAACCGCCTTGATAAGCCCCCCCCCCCCCGCGCTTCCCAGAACGGCTCCTCAAAACCGCACCAGGAGACGATTATTAGGGGATTACGAAGACTGTAGACTGGTTTGACTTGGCTAGCCCCGTGTAGTCGGGCTTATTACATGACTCCGACTATGGCTGAACAGTCCCTTTCAGCCTGGCTTGATGGACCCCCCGCCTCGCGTCCTTGGGTTGGGATCGCTCGAAGCAAATCATTTGTACTGTGTTTGCCCTCCCGCCCCCTGATCGTGCGATCGTGCCCACTTGAGGACCTCTCAGGCGTTGCCCCCTGACATCCATGGCGCCCGGCACCGAGTCGTGGGGGCCGCCGGCGAGTGCTCCGATCGATCGATCCTCGGTGCTGCCCCTAGTTCGATCCTCGAGCCCCGATCGAGCAGCCTCGATCGATCCTCGGTCGAGCCTTGAAGTGCCTCCCGCCCCTCGATCTGTCCTCGATCCTGCCCCTCGATCGATCCTTCGGCCCCGATTGGAAGGCCTCGATCGAGCCTCGAGCCTGCCCCTTCCCCAGACGACCTCGGTGGTGAGACATCCAGACGCAGGGTTTTCGCCCTCGGAGGTCCGCGAGGAGTTCTTGAACCTGTGATGGGCCCCCATTGGCGGGGCCTCCAGCGCCGCCCGTCGTGCGCACCGCGCGCCAGCGAGGGATTTCCAGCGCCGATCCAAGGAGTTTGCGCGCGGACCTCCGAACGTTTGCCTTCCCGCGGAGCTTGCTGTTCTGCCGGCGTTGAGACAGCGGGCCACGCGCAGAGGGGGGCTTGGGCTAGGGGGGAAGGCTTCTCAGACGCGCGCCTGCTTCTTAGAAGGCGCGGGCCTTGTTTGTAGGTGGAAGGCCCACGCATGTTGTGAAGCAGCTTCCTTCCAAGGAGACTTCCCCCTCCCCCTACCCTGTGCGCGCCGCCAAACACTCGCTTCTCAGATTGACTGTAGCCCTCGCACTCGCAACCCCCCCCACCTCGTCCGCCCCTGGCAGACGTGGAGCGGGGAAGGCTTCTTAGAAGCACCCCTGCTTCCACGAAGCCTTCCCCTCTCCCCCTACAGTCAACCCGCATAGCAAGGATGGGCAACCTTCCCAAAGGTACCTTTCATCCTTGCCTCCTCGGTCCATCCTTGGCCGCTTTCGCTGGCCGCGCCCCGCTCGGAAAGCTTCGAAATGGGCGTCCAAGGCCCTTGCATCCTTTTCGCGCATCCGTCTGACACCTGCCGACCGTACCCACTAAACGCTGCTAAACGTTGCTGACTGGTTCTGCCTCCTCGGCCTGCAGAGGAAGATACAGGCCGACCGTACCCACCTGTGCGCGCCGCCAAAACAAATCCGGCTGTCGGATTCCTGTGGCACCCTCCACCCCATTCCCCCATCTGCGCTGCCCGCCCCCCCGGGAGGCCAGAGGGAAGCGGATAGATCCTCGAGGACGCCACATCAGGAGATAGTTGACATCCGAATTGGGAGGCCCAGAGATGCCAACAGTGTTTTTGGCTCCCAACCAACGGGTGGCGTTGGGTCCTCGTTTTGAAAGAGGCAGCGCCCCGCATCACCTCACCTCCTCCCTCCTCCCCCTCCGCTCATCAGCATGCGTCTCCCCCCCAGTACAGCGTTTCGTGGTCCCATAGGACGGCGCAGAACGGTGGACCTCGACACAAGCTTTGGCGCCGAGGCGGCCGTCGCGACTCCTTCTGCGGACCCTGGAACTGAGGGTGGCAACGGATATGGGCATCTCGTGCCCGTTTTGTTTCTCTCCGGGGCAACGGTCGTTACCCAGAGGGGGGGGTGTTCGGGCGGGAGGATAACGACAAGAGCGGCCGCGGCGTGCACCCGCCGGGGTGCATCCGCGCCACCGGCGCGTCAATCGCCTGTGCGCACCACAGCATGTAGGGGGGTCCAGGCCCCCCTCCCCCAGGACGATCGTTCGCGTTACCCTGAGGGAGGGGGGAGGGTTGGGTCCGGGTAGCGAGCGTTATTGTACCCTGTGGTGGATCAACAACAGTTATCCTGGCGAAAGACCCAACCAAATGCAGTTGTGAGTACCGTCGTTGCGGGGATCGCCATCGGGGGATTTCCGCATGGGGCCATGACGCATGCGAAGGGTGTGCCGATGTGGGGCGGGGCCGCCATGTGGGCGCTGCCGCTGGCGCTTTAGGCGGATCCCACTACAGAGCCGCAAAACGTGCGAGGGGTGCGCCGCATTGGGGCGGGGCCGTCACTGGAGCCGTCGGTGGAGCTCCCCATGGGGCAACGAAACGTTGTACTGGGTGGGGGAAAACGCCTGCGAACACCTCCACTGGGGCCTTAGGTGGAGCTCTCAATAAGGCCACGAAACGCTGCACTGGGTAAGGGGAACGGTATGCGAACGCCGCCACTGGGGCCTTCGGTGGAGCTCCCTAAGGGGCCGCGAAACGATGCACTGGGTGGGGAAGACGCATGCGAGCTCAGCCACTGGGGCATGCCGTGGTACGCCCTATGTGACTGCCGGGACGGTCGGTCCCTGGTCACGATGCACGAACGAGATGGGCACGGAAAGAATGGGCACAATGGTCAACAACGGTTCCTGTTCATTTTGAACAGGACTCGTTGTCCGCGCCGCCGCGGCCTGTGTCCATTCAAGACAGAAGGCCGCCTGCCCAACAGCGGCCGCTGTTGGTTTGGGACAACATTTGTTGTTGGGCATAGTACTTGTTTTTTTTCCGTACCCACTTCGGGCGTCCAACGATGCATGTTCCCGCCAGAGCTCCGTGGGGAGCCCCGCCGTGGCGGCACGGCGCTCCGCGGAGGCCCAGCAACGGGCGGAAGCCATCCAAGAGCGCCCTAAAAGATTCCGACCCTCGACCCTCGAGTCCTCGTCGCGCCCTCGTCCTCGTCGTCGTCCCTGGCGGCGGCCGCGCCCGCGCCGGGCCGTCGCCACCCCGAGAGGCTCGACATTCTCGTCCTCGTCGCTTCTCCTCCTGCTCTTCCACCTCCACCTCCCTGTGAGGAGAGAGAGACAGAGAGACAGAGAGAGAGAGAGAGACAGAACGGTTGAACTGGACTCGGAGCCAGTGCTGGGGGGCAAAAGAGGTCCCCTGGCCGCCACGGCTGGACGCGGCCCGAGAAGCTTGTCAGCCTTGACCCTGGGGAGGGGCCTGGGGACCGATCTCGAGCGAGTGTGCCGTCGTCCTCGCCGTCGCCGCCCGTCCTCGCAGGCCAGCCACAACCGGGGGAGCGGTGGTCCTCACCCCCCTGGGGGATGCATCGATTTCGACACCCCTCCCGAGAGATCGTCGACGCGATGAGTTCCCCCAAGGGGGGTGAGGACCACAGCTGCCCCAGTTGTGGCTGGTCGGCCGCGTCGCTGGAGGTCCGGGGGAGCCGCACCGCGCCGGCCCCGCGCCCTGCGGCTCGCCCTGCGGCCCGCCCTGCGAAAAAGCGCCGCGGCGCGCCCGCGGCCCCCCGCCGCCGCCAGGAGCGGCCGGCGAGGGCTCCCGCGGCCGAGGCGCCGCGCCGAGGAGAGGCGGGGGGGCGCCCATCGTGCGGGCCACGCTCCGCCGCCCTGTCGCCCTCAGTGGGGGCAACGACGGGGGGGGGTATCGAGGAGGAGGAGGATCGAGGAGGAGGAGGAGGAGGAGGAGGAGGAGGAGGAGGAGGAGGAGGATCGACGAGGAGGAGGAGGATCGACGAGGAGGATCGACGAGGAGGGGATCGAGGAGGAGGAGGAGGAGGAGAGGGGGGGGTCGAGGAGGAGGAGGATCGAGGAGGAGAGAGGAGGAGACGAGGAGGATCGACGAGGAGGAGGAGGAGGATTGACGAGGAGGATCGACGAGGAGGAGGATCGAGGAGGAGGAGGAGGAGGAGGAGGAGGAGGAGAAGAGGGAGGAGGAGGAGGAGGAGGAGGAGGAGGAGGAAGAGGAGGATCGAGGAGGATCGAGGAGGAGGAGGAGGATCGAGGGGGGGCGCCCTCTTGCGGGCCTCGCTCCGCCGCCATGTCGCCCTCAGTGGGGGCAACGACAGGGGGGGATCGAGGAGGAGGAGAAGGATCGAGGAGGAGGAGGAGGAGGGCCAGTGTAAACCCAAGAGGTATCAGCGATGTTGGAGTAAGCCCTCCCTCCAAGCTCCCTCTTCATAGGCCCCTGCAACGGTTCACTTCCATTGATGGAGCTGCCTCGTTGGAAGACACCCGTTTGAAGACCCTGAAGCATGCGATTCCGACCCCATGGATCAACCTGATTGTTGCGTCTTGACGATCTAGAATCGTGCCAGAACGCCATTCCTCGGACTTCAACACAGAGGAGCAACGTAACCGTTGCACCCGCATAATCCTGAATCCTTCCAAGAGACCATTTCTGGTACGTTGATGCTGGGAATCCGTGAAACTCTTGAACATGTTCAAAACGACTGTGCGCCGCGCTAAGGCGAGAGCCACATTTTGAGAAAGAACCGCCCTCAATCCGTGAAACTCTCGCAAATGCTTAAAACGAATGTGCACCGCGCCCAGGCGAGAGATACATTTTCAAAGTCACCCGCCCTCAATCCGTGAAACTCTTGCAAATATTTGAAACGAATGTGTTCCGCGCTAAGGCGAGAGCCACATATTGAAAACCACCCACCCTCCATCTGTGAAACTGTTGCCATTCTTCAAGCGTCAGAATCATAAATGGTGAGGAAGACTCAGGCGAAACGCCCGGCCCGCACTAAAAACTGGCCTCGGGGTGCGGTAGGGGGAAATTATATATATATAGATATGGGGCAGGAGTGGAGGAGGATCGCGGAGGAGGAGGATCGAGGAGGAGGATCGAGGAGGAGGATGAGGAGGAGGAGGAGGAGGAGGGGGATAGGCATAGGGGGATAGGAATGGGGGGGGGGGGGGGGGGGGTGAAAACGCCATACACATAAACTTGTGGCGCTCCGCGTGGGCTTCTTAGATCCGCGCCTGGGCCCCCCCTGACGGCGCCTCCGGCGCCGCCACTGGCGCGCTCCGCGCGCCGGCGAGGGGGCTCCAGCGCAGATCCACAAAATCCGTGCTGAGTGCCGGAAGTTTATGTTCATGGCGCTTTTGTTTTGTCTTCGTCTTTTTCTTCTTCTTCTTCTTTTTCTTCTTCTTCTTCTTCTATGTATCACCGATGCGGGCCCGATGGCCACAACCTGCCCAGGAACGTGCGGAGATTCACGATCGGAGGCCCATCGCCGAACTCTCAGCGATGTGGTGCCGACTCGGGGTCGAGGCTTCCCCCCCATATGCCTGTCCCTCCTTCTCGTTGCCCCTCACCCCAGGGGCCAACCTGGAAGATGTTTTGGCGATCTCGTTGGCCGTTTCCGTTTCGACTTCGTGTTGCAGCGAATGCCGGTTTGGAGACAAAACGAGGGGAAACGAAGACAGCACGAGAGAACCAAAACCGTTGTTTTGGTCGAGCCCTGTCCCCCCCCACCTCAGGACGTGTGTTTCGGTGGCGAGCGAGGGGGGGAAGTGAGAGGGAGCGGCCCCTGTCAAAAGGCTCGGAAGTCCCTCGGTCCCCCTGCGAAGTGTCCTGGGACTTTCCCCGAAGGTGCGGGCAACGGCACAGAGTGCGTGAGGGCTTCTCGGAATCCCTGCCGCCATCCGAGAGGGCCTGGTCCTTCTCTCTTCCCCTCCCGGCGCGCCGCCGAGTGCTGGCCCGATGTGTGTGTGTGTGTGTGTGTGTGTTGCGCCGCTCCGCTCCGCCGATAAACGCACCTGTGGCGGCCCCTCTGGACCGTGAAGTCCAAAGAGCTTCTTCTTATGGTCACCACCCCCGCCCACCGGGCTGGGAGGGGCTGCGCGCGCGGGAAGGCTTCGCTCCACGTCGGCGGCGAGCAGGGGGGGGCAACGGCAGCGAGCACGAGGGCCTGGAGTCCGTGCAGTTCGCCGCGAAGCCCTGGCCCCACAAGATGGGTCAAACACATTGGGCCAGCTTGTCAAGCCCCTATATGCCGCCACGCTGGTTCCGGGCAGGCTGTGCTGTCCGGCGGAAGGGGACGAGGAGGGGAGAAACAGGCAGACGACGACGAACGTCCAGGCGGGAGGCCAGGGCCGGCGGGGCGGGCGGGCAGGCAGAACCCGGGCCAGGCGGAGACAGCAGGCAGGGAGCAGGAGGAAAGGAAAGGGAGGGAAGCAACGAGCAGAAGCGAAGGGAGGGGCAGGAGGGGGAGGAGGACAAGGAGGAGAGAAAGCAGCGACCGCAAGCAGACAGGCCGGGCCAGGGGCCGGGAGAGAAGAGCCGCCCGCGACGAGGCTACGGACCCTACGGCGGCGACCTGGGCGGGGTGGCCGCCCGAACCCAGCGCGATGCGGCTTGGTGGGGATTGCCCTCTGCGGGATCCATCCACCGCCCCGCTGGGGAAGGGCCGGGCGGCGCGTGGGAGGGGTCGCCAGCGCGACGTTGGCGAAAGGGCGCGGGGGGCGCCCGTGCTGCCCAGCAAAGGCGGGGGGGGGGTGGGCGGGGG